GGAAAGAGTGGAAGTCAAGAAAGCGGACACTGAGTCAAAGGAGGGTAATGGATAGTGAGTGAGATCAAAGGTATTGATTGCAAGGGTAAGGAAAGTCAAATAGGGGCCATAGAGCGCAACTAAAGGGTGACTACTTCTAAGTAAAACCTAAGGGAAGGAAATACAGTCGAAGGGAAGTAATGTCAAAGTAGTCACCATAGGCTTCTTATACTAGTAAACTATACCATCTCAGACTTGGAAGGGATAGGATATACATGTAATAAGACTGTAGCACTTTTTACAACTCGAGGCAAGGCAAATTACATACCAATGAGGTAGGATGGACCATGGATGGATTCCGACATTTCGGGTGATTCCTAGAGCGCGAGAACAGCGCGCTGGACTAGCGCTAGGCGTGGGAACAAGCGCTAGCGTCGGATAAGTCACGGGAGCATGAATAGCGCTGCGGGAATGTGCGCGCATAGTGTGGGAAAGTGCAGAATAGCGTCAGACAAGGGTTATGGCTGAGACAAGTGAAGACTGCTGATAGGGGAGTAGTGAATAATGCGAGGGATAACTTTGGTCCACCTATTGAAGGCTTATGCAGGTATACATGCCTAGCGCCAATATGATTGTCACACCACGAGGAGACAAATGGACTCATACACACCTGCCCCTCTCTCTTATTTCACGTCCTAATACATTACTTCCTGGTTCTAACTATCGTCTTGCACCATCCGCGCATCACCTGCTCTTATGGAGCAAACATGACTCGTTTTCCGCTGCGCTATTTACAGCACAATATACTCACCTCGTCTCTACCCGTTTGGTTATTGACCACACGTCTGTCGACGCATTTAACAGTGTATATTCTTTTGACAAGACCCGACGTGTGCTGGTTTACAAGCCAGTCGCGAAGAAAGTCCGCATGGTACAAACTTCTATGCCCCCTGAATATAGGATAATGCGACGGTTACCTGATGATCCTTTGGCCGGCATGCCTACACTGCCTACCCACCCGCCTGATTTCTTTCCAGGTGTCTGCTTCACTCAAGAGAGAGTGGACAAATTGGACTTAGACCCCACTAATTGGTTATGGCCTGACGAGTTGAAGCTCATATGCTGGCTCGTTCAGGTCCATGAATTAGCATTTGCATGGGACGCGACCGAGCGCGGCCGTCTCAATGAAACATATTTCCTGCCATACAAAATCCCTACCATCCCTCACATTCCTTGGTCTCAATGTAATATCCCTATCCTGCCCGCAACCCTCAGAGAAGTTATCCACATCATCAAAGAAAAGATCCAATCGGCTGTATACGAACTGTCTACCACTGCATACTGATTGCGCTGGTTTTGCGTAGTCAAGAAAGACGGAAAATCCTTGCGCCTAGTTCATGATCTTCAACCGCTGAACACAGTAACTATCCGAGACTCATCCCTCCCTCCTTTTGTCGAACAGTTAGCTGAATCCTTTCTGGGTATGCGGTATATGGTATGATGGACTTACAGTGGCTCAAAAAAGTGTCCCAATGTTTGTGAGTTTTCATGTAATTGCTTCATTGTGAGTCAGGGTGTGGGAATCTGACTAAGCTATAGGGAGGTGTCAGAATGCTCTGCCTCTTGGCTTTATCTTTGTTCCATGTAGCGTGGGAATCCGATGTTATCGCGTGAAGATATTGTCATTTTAATTTGATGCCTCATTGGGACACTTTTTTGACTTTGAATTTGACCAATATAATCTCTATAATTCTAGTACTTACTGTTGCCTCTTCTTGCTCTAATCACTTCTACCACTCTTATAAACACACTATCTATCAATTCCTAGCATTACCCATTAGTAATATTCCCTCACTGTGCTGTAACTCTCTCCCATAGCTAAAATAGCCCCTATTGGGGTTCCTGATACACTTCCTGAGTAATTTCCAGAGTTGTTCAATAGGGTTGAGGTCTGAAGACTGTACTAGCAATAATAGAACAGTAATATCATAGTTTTCAAACCATTTGGTAGCTAACTCTAAGCATACTTGAAGTCATTATCTTGTCATAAGATGGTGTCTTCTTCATTAATGTTTGATTCCTGCATGCTTTTAAGCAGACACTCTGCCAAAATTAAGATGCACTGCTCTGCATCTATCCTCCCCTCCACCTCACAGAGAATTCCTGCCCTAGTCCACCTCATACAACCCCATACCATCAAGTTTTCTTCTCCAAACCTGAAGTGTTTTCTTCTTGACTTCTCTTTGTCCTAGTAGTTCTTCTGCCTTTTTCCATACATATTCCTGGTCATCTGACCCCATTCTATTGATTTTTGTCTCATCTGACCAGATAGCCCAATTCCAGTCCTTTCAGGTTACGACCAGCGCACGCTACATGAGGAATCACGCGACCTCACTTCCTTTGGAACGCCGTTGGGTCCACATCGGTTGACAGCACTTCCGCAAGGTCACACTAATGCGGTACAAGTATACCAAGGTGATACCGCTTTCATTCTGCAGGACGAAATTCCAGAGTTCACGTTGCCATTTATTGACGATGTGCCCGTCAAGTCGGTTAAAACACGGTATCAAAGAGCTGACGGCTCATATGAAACCATAGTGCTAAACCCGGGCATACATCGCTTCATATGGGAGCATTGCATGGTCATCAACCGCATACTCCAGCGACTCAAGAATGTCGGTGTAACCGTATCTGCTACTAAGTTTGTTCTAGCCGCTGTGACAATCATACCAGCGCTAGGCGCGTATGAGTGTCATAGGCATATTTTGCCTTGCCTAGAGGAAAAGAGTAAGGCGCTAGTCACCAGCGCTATTCAGCTCCCAAGCTATCTGCTTTGGAGCCACTTTTCTCCCATAGCGTGCTACCCGGTCCGACGCCCAGGTACTCCATCCTCCCATGTCCCGCCTATGTCCACCTACCTCCGCTGGTGCGTTATTAGTCCTTAATTGTCGCTACTGATCAGTCGCAGGTCTTATTACATGTATCCTCGTGTTCCGCAGCGCTACATGTCTTATTACCTGTGCACGCATCATGCTCCCGCCTGTATCGCTACTATTCTTGCTGCGCATCCCGAACGCTTATGCAGTATGATAAAATGGCTCGCCGTACATACAGTAGACTACTTCCCTTCCCCGGACCTTTGCTGGTGTCGGAGTCACTTTAGTCACTATATCCTAGTCTTGGTGCAATTGATTCTGCTCTTGCCAATATCTCTGATTGCGTGTTGCTTGACTTGTTTTTAAGTGCGCGTCGCTAAAGTTCCCTCTTAAGTTTGACTTTCACAACACCGGGATAGCTGTCGGTAGTCAAGCTACAATCTAGTTGCTACCAGGCATTTCACTTGCACTGTCTGACCTTACTCCTCACTTTCGCTCCCTTTGATTTCTTCTTGCTGTTGCTAGTCGGACATCGCATAGCACTATCGCATAAAAACAACTTGCATAGTGCTTCTCACTTATATGCACGTTTCTCTATCGGAACTCACTTGTCGCTAGTCACTAACCGCTATAAGCGCTACTCATCAGTTTTTGGTCTTAGGTCGCCATAGGTTATCAGTCCTTCGTGCTATCACTACCCTTGCATATTAGAAGGGAGTTGCTTCAATAGCAGTCCTCTTGGGTCGAATAATACACTCGCGCCTATTTGGATAAGTAGCGCTAGTTTCTAACCAGCCTAGTCGCTATTTCTCTTTCACACTGCTCCTACCGCTGTCATAGTTGGACACAAGTGTACCTTTGAAGGGCGAGTGCTGGAAGATTCAAAGTGCAAAAAATCCGCGATTGGCCTGAATGTTGTACCATTCACGCAAGTGCGGGGCTTCCTAGGTACCTGCGGAGTCTTGCGCATCTTCATTCGGAACTTCTCCAAGATCGCACAACCCCTCACCAATCTTACCCACTGTGAAAAACACAACCTGACTAGCACTGTTAAGGTACTCAGCCAGTATATGTCTAATGCTCTGCCTATGCTGCTATACTTGCAAACAATAAAGCAAGAACATTCGACCCGAGGGAAAAGCTACTAAGGACAACTTAAGATAGAAAGACCCGAAAGTGCGCCATAGTGCGGGAAAGCGCGTCGCAAGATACAGCGCTAGTGCGTGGGAAAGTATGTCGCAACTATAGAGCACTATGGTGCAAGAAAAGCGGAAGTGCAGGTTGGTAGATGGTCGCTATCGGGTCACTAATGCGTCGGTAGTGGAGCATTAATGTGTCTGTAGTGGAGCGCTAGTGTGTCGGTAATGGAGCGCTAGTGCGCGGGAAAAGCGGAAGTCAAGAAAAGCGGATACTGAGTCAAAGGAAGGTGCTGGATAGCGAGTGAGATCAAGGGTATTGATTGCAAGGGTAAGGAAAGTCAAGGTAAACCAATAGGGCTATAGAGCGCAACTAAAGGGTGACTACTTCTAAGTAAAACCTAAGGGAAGGAATACAGTCGAAGGGAAGTAATGTCCAAGTAGTCACCATAGGCTTCTTATACTAGTAAACTATACCATCTCAGACTTGGAAGGGATAGGATATACATGTAATAAGACTGTAGCACTTTTACAACTCGAGGCAAGGCAAATTACATACCAATGAGGTAGGATGGACCATGGATGGATTCCAACATTTCGGGTGGATCCTAGAGCGCGAGAACAGCGCGCTGGATAAGCGCTAAGTGGGAACAAGCACTAGATAGAGCGGACATGCACTAATGCTCCTATAGACACATTGCTGGTAGTTCTGACAGTGCTATAAGTGTGGGAATAGCGTTGGATAAGTCGTGGGAGTATGAATAGCGCTGTGGGAATGTGCGCGCATAGTGCGGGAAAGTGCGGAATAGCGTCGGACAAGGGTATTGGCTGAGACAAGTGAAGACTGCTGATAGGGAGTAGTGAATAATATGAGGGATAACTTTGGTCCACCTATTGAAGGCTTATGCAGGTATACATGCCTAGCGCCCGGACGCTCCTTGGACCCGATGTGGGTATCACAACCTGGCAGGCACATATAAGAAAAGTGCTCAGCCAGTATAAGTGAGTCTCAGCTCTGCCTAGCTGCTATACTGCAGAATGCAAGAACATTTGACCCTAAAGGGGAAGCAAGGAAAGCAAGGATCCACGGAATGATGCTGAACAACCCTGGTGAATGGCTGGGTGAAAGCGCAAGAAATGCGCTGAAGGCGCGCGCGGGAAAGTGAAGTGCGAAGGTGCGTGGAGCGCGGGAAGGTAGTGCAAGCAGTGCACAAGTGTAGAAGACGGATACTGGGACTGATAAGAGGGAAAGTGCGGATCTAGACGGATACTGATAGTGCCCACTAGCTATAGACTGATGCTAGGGCCTCAATATGATGAAGGACACATGCATTGCATGGAACTAACTAATGATAGATACCGAGTGGTAGGAAGGTGTGGGGTAGTTGGGTCGGAGAGCACATGAAGGGCATCAGGAGTGCGCGCATGAACATCTGGCTGACGGTAATCTGCTGCAAGGTACTTGAATGCGCTTAGTGGCAAGTGCAGGGCTAAAAACGCGATTTGAGGGTGATTCCAAGATTAGTTTCACAAACATAAGCGCATTGCGCGGTCAGGCGGCGCAGAGCAGAATACTAAGCGTCGGTGGCGAATCTAGGCCAATATGGCTGCGCTTCAAAGGCAGATAGCTGGTAACCGGTGCAAGGATCAAAACGGTGTCAGTAACAAAAACGCGGAACTTCCATATGTCAAAGGCGCATTGAGCGCTCAATGAAAACGCATGTGGATCATCAAGGACATTGTCCTGAACAGCCTGATAGGCTAGGGCGGCAACATGGCAATAGGCGCTTTGCTCCTTGAGAGCTTTCGACGTATAACAACCATAAATCGCGTTAACTGAGGAACATTCGTACAAACCATTAGCGCATTTGAGCGTTTCTTCCGGAGTGGTTCTAGCGTGGTCAAGGTATGCGTCTTGGTCGTCTGGAACATGATCCATGTGATGCATCTGATGCACCACTTGGACATTGGTTGAAGAGCATGAACTGCTATCGTTAAAAAGCGCGGTTTCGTCAGTAATGGGATCGTCAAGGGGCGTACTCTGGTCAACTGGTGTCGCGTATTGAAGCTCTGGCGCTGCAGGAGGCACCTGATTAGGCGCGCTAAAGTGCGATGAGCATACAGGTCAGATTGAGACATCGGAGCGAGGGGCAAAGGCGCGGTATCTTCTACATCCGGATGGTGCGTTTCTTGGACTACTGGGGCAGGGATGTGTCGTATGTTTCAGGAATTGGTGCGATGATTGCTGCTTCTGGTTGCTCTTGAGCGCGTTCTGGATGCGGAGGTGCGCTTGCAAGGGGCGCTTCAATGGCGGCTGGTTTTTCGAAGATAGGGCGCGTATAGTGGCAAACACCACATTCTGGCCAAAAATCCAAGACGTGATCAGCAAATTCCACATAGTTGTCAAATGCGCGGTATGAGAGAAGCTGCCTGTGTTTAGGCGCTGTATACTTCAGTGCATACTTAATGATCTCCTTGTCTGATAAACCAAGCGGTTGCGCGAGTCGTTCTACTGACTCCAGGAAGTTGACGAGCTGAGTACCATCACCTGCAAAGCGTGGCGCTGAGTTGGCTATTCGAAGGGGCATTCCGGATGAATCTATGGGTCATACATGGCGTGAAGTGGTCGCGTTAGGCGTGGAAAAAGCGCGGATTGAAAAGTGGATGGAGGAGCGCAGATGGAGTGCGTAAATGCGCGTGTCGTATAAAGGTCTAGGAATGAACTGGTTGCTGTGTCAGATGGCCCCCTCGGGTGGGCTCCAGTTGAGGCGATCTCAACCTGGCTGGGCTGATATGAAATATCTAAAAATGCTCAACCAGTATAAGTGAGTCTTGGCTCTGCCTAGCTGCTATACTCGCAGAATGCAAGAACGTTCGACCCTAAAGGGGACTGCTACTGAACACAGAACCAGATGAAAGAAAGACCCTTGAAGTGCGATGGATGCGCGAAAGCGCAAGAAAGAAAAGCGAAGTGAGCACGAAGCGCGAGAGAGCGCACTAAGGTAAGCGCGAGAGAGCGCACTAAGGTAAGCCGCGGAGAGAGCGCACTAAGGTAAGCGCGAGAGAGCGCACTAAGGTAAGCGCGAGAGAGCGCACTAAGGTAAGCGCGAGCGTGGGAACGTGAGCGCTAAGGCGCGCGTTGTGCGGAGAATACCGGATAAGGAAACGGACAAGGAAGCGGAGGTGCAAAGCGAGTGGCAAATGCAGAGCGAGTGTTATAACGAGCGCGGATAAAGGTCTAGTATAGGCGGATAACGATACTCATTGGAAACACAAAGTGCGCCCAAGTGGTGACTACTACTTTAAAGTAAAACCCATAGCGAGTGAAGTACAGCAAAGGGGAGTAATAATGATGGTGTGTAAGTAAGTCAGCAACTTTATACTATGGAAATCACATCGGAAGCGGAAGGGATAGGAGCAATAAGCGCTATGAAACATAATGACATGTAATAATGCTGCAATGCTTGTTAAAAACCACGATGCAAGTGCATATGACGTACCAATGAGGTGGGTGGACATAGACGGACGTCCCCTGGATGATAGGCGATGAAGGGCGATGCAGGGCGCTTAAGCGCGAGAAAGCGCGCAAGGTGCGCGTGTGGGAATGCTGCGCATTGTGTGGGAAAGTACCGCGCCTATGGCGCGTTTCGCGGGAAAGCTGCGCGTTATGTGTAAAATGACTAGGGACATGATAGAAGTCGAATATAGCTGATGGTGCAAGTCATGCATTGAAGGCCAATTGTCATGAGTTGTGAAAAGGTGCGAAATGTGCCTATATGTGCCTGCAGAAACGCGAGTCTCTACACCAAACCAAGTGGCACCCCAATGAGGACCCCGTAAATCAAACCGCCGACAACGCGCTCAACAGCGCCAAGGCCGCCACACAGCGCTTCATGCTCAGCAAGAACCTCAAGCCGACCTACCTCAAAACACCTCAACAACAACCCTATCGACGACGACGTCACAGCCAACATGCCAACACACGACTCAAGCTCCTCGACACTGACTCAAACCAACAGAATGAACCGCAAGACAACCGCAAGTAAACCCCTCCTTTCCACCAGCAAATCAATCGAAGACCACGCGACGGGCCTAGGCGTGAAGACCGACGTCAACAACCTAAACAATGCAAGGAAAACGCTCACCACGCACGGACTCAACCTTCCCACGGCTGGCAAAACACTACTGACTATCTCGGCTGCACTTTTCGAGTTCAGTGCATCGGCCAACCTCGGGGCCACGCACACAGATATAATGCATGCTTTCGTGTTTATCATCTACGAAGTTCAGAAAGATATTGACACGGAACATATCATCAAGAAAGTCAAAGCGCTAATGGGAGGACCAGTCGCAACCCTGGATGAGAAAGTCGGCGCACTCGAAGACGTGTTAGTGAAGTACAAGAAGGAAATGGAGAAAATGGTCACAGAGGTGCATGACAACATTCAAATGTCAGTAGAAGAACTAGCGAAAGCAGCAAAGAGTACGAGCGCAAATGCCTCGCAACACTCTCAGTCTCAGATGACCAGTGATGTGCAAGGGTCTAATGGACCACGATCATATGCAGCAGCAGTGAAGTCTAACACCCCTCCACTACTAACCAAAGCCCTTGCAAAAAGCGAAGCACAGTCTCGACAGATTCTGATAGATAGAAGATCCCCACTCTATGCCAACTCGCTCAAGGACCTCACGGAGGCGCAACTAGTAGCCAAGGCCACCATGGCAATCGAGTTGATAACAAAGGACAATGAGGACAACGAGGACATCCCCAAGAGTTTAGTGTTTCTATCGGCACGAAGACTCCCACACGGCGGAGTACTCTATGAACTGGACTCAACAGAATCCGCCCTATGGTTCAACAACCCAGCAAACAAGAGCAAGTTCCTCGAACACTTTGGAGTAGAGGTTGTCATCAAAGACCGGGCCTTCCATGTACTAATCGAAAACGTCCCGATCTCTTTCATACCGGACAACCATGCGGCAATAGACGACGTCGAAAAGAAGGCCGGCCTCAAACCCAAATCCATCTGCAAGGCAAGATACATAAAGCCCGTCGCCAGATGCAACCCAGGTCAACGCACGGCTCATGTCATCTTCACCTTCAGTACGAAGGAGGGAGCCAATCACGCAATCAAATTCGGGCTAGCTGTCGCAGGTAAGAAAGTATATGGTAGGAAATTGATACAGGAACCTACCAGATGCCTCAAATGCCATTCTTTCAACAGCGCACATGTAGCAGTTGAATGCCCACAAGAACACGATACCTGCGGGACATGCGGTGGTCAACATAGGACAGCAGCATGTACAGTAACAGACCAAAGCAAGTACCACTGCAAGAACTGCGAGGTGGAAGGCCACGCAGCATGGAGTCGCGACTGCCCGACGTTCACAAACAAATGGGAAAGCTACAAGAACCGCAACGAGGATGCTAAGTACCGATTCTTCCTGACAGATGATCCACTTACATGGGAAACCATAAACGATCCATCTCGGTCAGGGGACGAAGACGTGAACCAAGACCACCGTCAGCAACCATGTCCACAACACCAACAACGCTTCCCACCTCCAGTCGACTGAACAAATGAACGGCAAAATGTCAACTACCGAAGGCAACCCCCTCAAGAACGCAACACCCGCAATGTGAATCGGACCCCACTTGGCAATCAAACCCGACTCATGGACACCTGGTGCTCACAACCACAACCTCCTCAACCCTCACAACCCCTCCGAGAAGAAGACCACTCACAGAATGATGACTACGGCTGGACGTCCCACCACCTAGGCTCCCCTTATGAACAGTACAACCCAGGAAGTGGATGGGACCAAGACCACGCAGGTAATCTATGAGCGATGACGCCCACAGAAACCAACCTGCGCAGGACGACCTCAAGATTTGGCAGCAAAATCTTCGCAAATCTCTCAATGCCTGGGAACATATGTTAAGAAATCTCAACCCGGATGTATATGATATAGCCTGTATACAAGAACCATATTTCAACCCTGTAAATCTTGCTAACGCATCTAACTTAAAACAGTTTTGGGACGTCATCTATCCGACCGACCATCACGCTAGCGCGGGCAGATCGCAAACTCTAATCCTGGTCAATAAAAGACTATCCAAGAACAATTGGCATATTGTACTGATCAAATCGCCGAACGTTATGGCAATAGAAATCACGGGCCAGTTTGGAAAGGTGCGTATATATAACATATACAACCCATGCGATAGCGACACGACACTCCACTTCCTCGAAAGGCACATGGCCACAGAGAATGCCCAGCGCAATCGCACGCAAGGTATCGCTCAAGGCGAAAACGGCGAAGCAAATGAATATATTGTATGGTTAGGTGACTTCAACCGCCACCACCCCATGTGGGAAATGCCACATAACACGCATCTATTCACTGCGGCGAACTTAGACGCCGCGGGCACGCTAATCAACCTTTTATCTTTATATAACTTAGTACAGGTACTTCCACCAGCATTAGCAACTCTGGAAGCATCTAATACCAAGAATCACACTCGCCCAGACAACATGTTCTGCTCCGCTCAGCTAGAACAATCGTTCAGTCAATGCAGCGTCGAACAACACTTACGCCCGGTAATCACTGATCATTTCCCCATAATTAGTACACTAGACCTCCAGCCAGAGCGCATCCTTACAACACCTAAGCTAAACTACCGAGAAACCGACTGGGACAAGTTCCGCGACGTCCTGACCGACAAACTCAACGCTATCCCTCGGCCAGTCGAATTAACTGACCGTGAGCAGTTCGACACCGCCCTTTGCCAACCTAACTCAATGTATTGCCAAGACCGTTGAAGAACAGGTTCCCAAGACCAAAACCCTCCCCATATGCTAAAAGGTGGTGGTCTAAAGAGCTAGACATTCAATGCAAGGACGTAAACAAGCTAGGAAGAAAAGCTAAACACTTAACAGCTAGAAGGAACGACCCGATACACGAAGAATATAGAATGGCCCACAATCGCTTCTCGGAAAGCATCAAGAACGCAAAGGAAGAACACTGGAAGGAATGGCTGGAAGGACTCACCCTCACAGGAACCTGGACCCTTCACAAGTACGTAGCGAGTGCCCCCGCTGACCAAATACACACTAGAATCAAAACACTTCAAGATCCCAGAGTGAATGGACAGAACGGCACCACACAGGACAACACTCGCAAGAGCGAGCTACTATATGACGTGTTTTTCCGACCCCCGCTAGAAAATGATCACGTAGACCCCGACTTCAAGTATCCCCCTCCTGTTTGTGAATTCGAGCTGATCACAGATCCACAGATTCACCGAGCCATCAAAAAGCTCTCCCCCTTCAAGGCCCCAGGTCTAAACGGCATATGCAATGTCGTATTCATGCGCTGCGCAGACCAGCTAGTACCCTTCATGGGACCAATATTTAGGGCGACATTCACGCTAGAAGTCTACCCGAAAGACTGGAAATGCTCATCTACGATAGTTCTCAGAAAGCCAGGCAAACCAGATTATAGCGTCCCTAAGGTGTACCGTCCGATTACGCTTTTGGACACAATGGCTAAAATCTTATCATCATGCGTTGCAGACGATCTGACATACATCGCCGAACAGAACAACCTCCTCCCCGCCATGCACTTCGGTGGCCGACCAGGACGCTCAACAACGGACTCACTTCACCTCCTTACCAAGTTTATCACCGACTCATGGGCCTCGCAAAATAACCACGTTTCACTGCTATTCTTGGATGTCAAAGCGGCCTTTCCGAGCGTGGTGGTAAACAAGCTCATGCACAACCTCAGGAAAGCGGGAATCCCACAGGAGTACGTCAATTGGTATAGACGACGCCTCGACAACCAGTCGACATACCTCTTTTTCGACAACTACCAGTCCAACCTGTTCAACGTAATAGATGGTGTTGACCAGGGCTGTCCACTATCGCCCCTAGGATTTGTTTTCTACAATTCAGACGTGTTAAGAGTAGCTGACCCCAATCCTAGACAGGGAGAACTAAGCCTAGGATTCCTAGACGACGTGGCACTCGCAGCAAGGGGTAAATCATATGAAGAGTCCAACGGCAAACTCAAACATATGATGGAAAAACGAGGCGGCGCACTCGAATGGAGCGAGGAGCACAGCGCAGAATTCGAGCTCGACAAAACCACACTAATCTGCCTCTCCAGTGCACGGAGCCCCGACCCAGACAACCCCCGCAAGTCAATCCCACCCCCCCCGCCTACCTATAACCATCCACAACCACACCATACAACCGTCGAAATCGCACAAGTTCCTGGGGGTCGTAATTGACCAAAACCTCAACTTTAAAGAGCACGCCACCCATGCCATGGCAAAAGGAACAAAGTACGCGATGGCATGCAGATGGATCATCCGCCCCACCAGGGGCATCCATGGCAAGCTGGTAAAAAGGCTTTTTGAGAGCGTCATTCTCCCGAAGATGATGTACGCGGCGGATATATGGTGTGCAGGCCTAGTGGCTGAAGGGCAGAGGAAAGAACGGAGGGGGATGAGGAGCAAGGGGATTCGCATCCCAGATGGCCAGGGTTCAGAGGACAACCACATTGTTGATAACAGGAGGACTAAGATCAACCGCAACTGATATTCTGGATGCTCACGCTAATGTACTCCCCTTTCAGCAGGTATTAAGGAAGACATGCTATCGAGCATCCCTAAGGATGGCTACACTCCTCCCACCGCACCCGCTAGCCAAAGAAATCAAGAAAGCATATGAGTATAGCGAAAAACGACAGTTCCAGGGGAGAAGGAAAGCGATATCCCTCACCTCTACACAGGCTGATGAATGAATTTCAGATTAACCCATCCAACATCGAGAAAATTGAACCGGTCAGACATTACCCCAAGTGGGAACCGGACATTGATACGCATATTGCAGAGTCAACGCAGCAAGCGGTAAAAGACGACACACTCGCCACGGAAGAACTACGGGCATATTCGGACGGATCGTCAGTGGACAGGGGAGTAGGAGGCGCAGCAGTACTGATGAGGGGAGAGGAGGTGATAAGAAGGAAAAGATTGCATCTGGGAAGCAACGAGGAACATACCGTATACGAGGCAGAGCTGGCAGGGATGATCCTGGCAATCCAACTGTTGAAGGAGGAAGGAGGCAGCAGGGGGGGAACGATGGCGCTAGGCATAGACAACCAGGCAGCAATACTCGCCACGACAGCATTCCAATCAAGACCAGGCCACCACCTAGCAGACATATTTCACGACGACCTGCTGTTAAGACCGTACTCAAGTAGTATCGGATCCGAAGGGCTTCGGCCTCAGCTCGTGCGCTGTGCCCCTTTCCCGAGTCTTGCCCCTTATTTCAGAGAGCTAAAGTATCGCGTGTATAGAGTAACGGCCAATCCGGATCGGATCCGGACTAGAAACTAACGGGTGAGGACTGTCCGAAGACAGAGGCGGATATGTAGACTATAGGAATCTATCCTAAGTCTCGGAGTAGACAAGAGTAGCGTACTCAAGTCTGGATGGATAACGGAGGGACTCAGAGTCCAGACGGAATGAGTGCAATCTAAGATGATATTCGAACTGATCTACTACAGCGCATATACAAAGGTTTATATACTGCGGATAGCTAACGGAATGATCAATAAGCAAAGGTGCGAGGCTATGTACGAAAGTATAAGCAAAGTAAGTAAAAGCGGATTCGTAAGTGTAGCGGATCAGTAAGCATAGCGGATCAGTAAGCATAGCGGATCAGTAAGCAAAGCGGAAGTAAAGGATAACCGGTATACCAGTGTACAGGAATACCGAAAGGAGATGAACGATAGTTAGAGTTATATGAACAGGAAATGAAATAAGAATCAAAGCGGATCTGTGGACCGGACGATGGATATGTTCATCGGATCTGGATCGGATCTGAGATCCAGATCATCGGATCTGTAACCGGATATATGGTATATGACACCTGCGCAACTTGCTACCCCTCAAAGATGGCAGAAAACTAGTCATCCGGTGGTCGCCGGGCCACAAAGGCATACCTGGCAATGAGGCAGCGGATGAGGAAGCGAAGAAAGCCGCGTCAGGAGACTCCTCAGAAGCGCACAAACTCCCCAAGTCACTCTTGACCAGAGACGGCGCAATCAGAATACTCCCGCAAAGCAAATCCGCTCTCAAACAGCATTTCTATGGCAGGATCAAAGACGAAGCCGTGAGCATCATGAAAGAATCACCCCATTACACCCAGCTCAACTCCATCGATCACACGGCTCCGTCCAAGAAATTCGCAAGCAAAATCGCAGACCTACCAAGAAAGCACGGGACGCTACTCTTCCAACTACGCACCAGTCACATCGCCCTCAACAAACATCTCCACCGCATAGCTAGAGCGCCGTCAGCAACATGCCAGGAATGCCATGCCCACAAAGAAACTGTCCACCACTTCCTGTTAGTATGCCCCAAATTCACCAGACAATGCAACGCACTCAGCATGGAAGTAGGACCGCGCCAGCTCCACATCAAATATCTTCTAAGCGAAAGCAAAGGAATCAGAGCAACACTCAAATACATCGCGCGCACAAGAAGAATGGAACAGGCTTTCGGAGACGTCACCCCCCCCAGAGGAGAAGAAATGAGGAAGAAGGAAAGAGGGAGCAGCTAGAGAAGAGGAGAAGTGCACGCAAAATGTAACACAATATTCCAACGCCTTGAGATGGTGTCACTGTCCCTGCTCACGCATGGACCATTGATTAGCACCGACACACCAGAGTCACAATATATATTTAGCAACGTACAATATTGTAGGTAGTGTCCACCATAGGGCCCCGCCCCACAGGACAATAAACAAGGATCCAAAAAAAAAAAAAATGCCTAGCGCCAATATGATTGTCACACTGCAAAGATGTACCCTTCGAATGGGGTGAAGACCAACAGGTAGCTATGCAGACTCTGAAGGACTCAATATTAGAGTCTCCCACACTCCTTCTGCTCAATTATGAGTGCGGTCGTGAAGTTACCCTTGCTGTTTACACCTCTTGCATCGCTGTAGGTTTCATCCTCCTTCAAGTTGGGGAAGATGACAAGCGCTATCTGAACCGCTTCGGGTCCATATCCCTTACGGAAGTCAAAAGTTGCTACTCTCAAGTGAAATTAGAACTCTACGGCCTATTTCATGCGCTTCGCGTCTTTATCTTCGGTGTCGCCAACCTCACGGTTAAAGTTGATGCGAAGTATATCAAAGGAATGATCAATAACCCCGACCTTCAACTTAATGCAACCATCAATCGGTGGATCGCAGGTATATTGTTATTTTCTTTCGCGCTTGTTCATGTACCTGCCACCAAGCATACTGGAGCAGACGGACTCTCAAGGAGACCACCCGCTGAGGAAGATCCCGATGAGGATGATGATCATGAGGATTGGCTTGACCGCTCATATTCTTTTGGCATCGAGATTCTGAATGACTGTAGTTGCGCTATCGCAGGCGCAGGAGCTGATATCATGCGATACCCATATGCTGCACCCATACCTTACCTGCTGACCCGTTTACCCGCTCTCATCGCATACCTAAACACCATAGAACCCGATTCCACAAGCCTGACCATACCCCGCTCAGAGAACGCGCAAGCACTTGACGCCAGATTAATCAAGATCCAACACTTTTTAGAGACCCGCAAGCGACCCGCAGACCTATCAGATGATGACTATGAGTCATTTGTCTCATCCACTGCGCGGGTACTTCATCCTTGACGAGAAATTGTGGAGGTGCAACTCTCAAGGAAAGCACCAGCTAGTGGTTCCTGAATCGCGACATTTTCGCATCTTGAAGGAAGCGCACGACGACCTTGGACATAAGGGAGTATATTCAATTCACGCCTGACTTCTCTTATGCTTCTGGTGGCCTATGATTATTGACGACATCAAATGGTACAATAGGACATGTCACGAATGCCAAGTCAGACAAAGTCGCAAGTTGCATATTCCTCTGACTGTGCTGATCCTGGGTGGTATTTTCAGGTGAGCACATATTGATTGTATGATGATGCCTAAAGCAGGCAGATTCGACCGACAAGTCTATGCACATTGCGCGCTAACCGGATATCCAGAATGGTGCATGTTATGCAAGGAGAATACCAAGACCCTTGTTGCATTCTTATTTGAGGAACTTCTTTGCAGATGGGGACCTATTACCGAAATTGTTACCGACAATGGACCTGCATTCCGCGCAGCAGTTGATGAACTTGCAGCCCGCTATGGAATTCACCCGATCCGCATCTCAGCATACAACTCTCAAGCTAATGGTATCGTTGAGCAACATCACTATGATGTCCGGGAGGCCATCATGAAAAGTTGTGATGGGGATGAGGCGCACTGGTATCAATCCGCACACTCGGTACTTTGGGCAGAACACGTCACTGTTCATCAAGCGACAGGACTTACACCTTATTTCATGGTTCATGGCGTCGAGCCTATCTTCCCATTTGATCTTGCTGAAGGAACATTTCTAGTAGTGCTACCCGACCAAGACACCTTCTCAACGACGGACCTAGTCGCATGGAGAGCCCGACAACTGCAGAAGCGACAAGAAGACCTCAACGATATCAAGGAGAAAGTACTCAAGGCACGCTATCAGTCCATCCGCAACTTTGAGCAGCACTATTGTCGCTCGATCATAGATTACGACTTCGCGCCTGGTGCACTCGTTCTAGTCTGCAACTCCAAGGTTGAGTATGAGCTAAGTTGCAAGACGAAGCCGCACTATCTAGGACCTATGATAGTCATCTGCCGCACTAAGGGCGGGTCGTACATCCTTGCGGAACTAGATGGTTCTGTGTCCCAACTGCGCTATGCAGCATTCCGCCTACTCCCTTATCTTCTGCGCAGCGAAACTAAAGTCTCAGTTACTAGCATCACAGGTCTAGACGATGAAGCACTGAATACTCTAGCAAGCGAAGACATAGAAGAGCCACCCAATGAAGCGCTCGATTTCAACTTCGATGCATGACCCGCCAGCATTCCTCAAATACCACCAATATACCCATTCCCAACATCCGCTATCTCTCATAAAAACAAAAACACAAAAACATACTGCTCTTAGTATGATAGTCTCAGTTTCACCCCAGGTTTAGTCCGGTGTACCAGTTTCATTCTTCTGCTCTCAAAGGACTCACATATGTTACGCGCCATCCACGCATAGACTTTATATCGCAACACAGACATTACAAGGATTGGACTATTTCACACGAAAGATTGATTACCGTACATTTTATCTTCGAACGCGTAGGCAGCGCACCACGCACATTGACATGATATAGGGATTAAAGTCGCGCACAAATAGCGACAGGAGGAATAGACAAAGAAGCGCAACGAAGAAGCCAAGTCAGGTGGTACCCCGCCAATTAACCTGACTGTGACTAGTATCAATTCAACTTCTTCTGCATCACGACTGCATGCTCATTTTACCTTATATATCTCTTAGGCACCCAGTGGAGCTAGGATCGGAACATTGGATTTGGACATGGGACATAGGACTCAAGATTACCTGGACCAGGACACGCAATCACTCAGGATATTCATGTGACTGACATTCCAATTCATGCGCTATCTATTCCAGTCTATATTGTACACTAGCGCTAACAAAAGTCCAAACATGCAACCTAAGGAATCCCATCTACCGAAGCCTCCTCCTCTTCTTGCAGCACACCGCCAAGGAATCCACCTCCGTCATCATTTCCATAAGCATCCCCTGCATAGTCAGCATCTTGGTGTATAGTGCCCACACCTTGCCTTCCAGATAAATGTCTTCATCGTCAGCATCAGCATCTGCCAGGAGGTCAAACTCAACCTCCCGACTCTCTGGCGACTTCCACTTTCGTGAGTCCTCTACTGACTCTTCTTCTTCTTCTTCTTCCTCCTCCTCTTCTTCTGAATTGGTGGTAGTTGCATCCTCTGGAGTCTCCCTAGGATGGCGGATAAGGACACCCTGCCCCGCAGAGGAACCTGGAGCGGGAGCAGAGGGTGCCTTGACCGCCGCCTTTGCTGCAATGACACAAGCGGCAGCTCTCTCCTTTGCGACTGTAAACAAGTGTTAGAAAGTTGCGACCCTTACAAGTCGGGACCACTTACCTCCACGCCTATGGGTAGAGTATTCGCACTTCTTGCGAGCATCCTTGCAGAGCTTGCAGGAATTTCCTGGCTTGCCGACGCAAGGCTTCTTGGCCTTGACACATCGAGCACAAGGGACAGGATGTACGACAGGTGCGACAGCGCGTGGAGGCTTCTGTAACCAGAGTCAGAACACCAGAAGGCAAGGCAACTAATCCACTTACCAATGCCTTCCTCCTACCCACCACGGCGCCAACAGTTGCAGCACGTTCAGCGACCCAAGGAGGATGAACATCCACCTCCTCTTCATCCAACTCCCCTTCCACATCAGCGTCGGCATCTGCGTTGTCCATGGCCTCATCTGTCTCGCCCGACTTCTCCTTCTCTTTCCCCTTCTCTGACTCCATCTCCCGCTCCTTACTCTTCTCCTGCTCAAGCGCCGCCTGCTCGTCCACAAGTCGCTGGACCTCCACCTTGTAGGCGTGAACTTGACCAGAGTATAATTTGTTGGCCTCTTCCGCCTTGCGACCCAATGCAACCTCATCCGACAAAAGTGGAAGGTTCATATTGTAGGTCTTGCAGTTGAGTGCATTGTCGCTAAGTTCCTGCTGTAGAGAGAATCAGAAACCAGAAACAGAGCTAAGTCGGAACTAAGGACTTACCACAAGCTTAGTCCAGTCGTGCACCCACTCCTCCTTTCACTGGATGAGTTCCGGTCGGTCCTCAGGGATAGCTTCGACCACATGGACCAACTTGAGTCGCAAGTCAGCGAAGGCCTGCTGGAGCTTGTCGACGTTGGGGTTAACGACTTCTGAGAAGGTGAATGAAGACATGATTGAAAGTATGAGATAAAGGAGCGGATGAAGGAAAGGTCGGAGGGTTTTTATAGGGAATAGCAATCCAGCCCACACTTCCATTGACCCCGACCCACTCTTTGCGACCACCGCATGCCCATTATTCCTTGCATTGTTCTAGTCCACCGATCGCGACCACTGCATGTTTACACTTCCACCCACTGTTCCGGCTCATCCATTGTGTCCACCGCTTCTATCAAATTTTTGCTACCCCGATCATCACTTCCATATCAGGTCGCCATTGATCACATGCCCTTATTGATGGACGAAATTTTTGCTAAGTCCAAGTCGCGACATGAGACCGACTGGGGACAGTTGGTATTCAAGTCTCCCACAGATGTGACAATCATACCAGCGCTAGGCGCGTATGAGTGTCATAGGCATATTTTGCCTTGCATAGAGGAAAAGAGTAAGGTGCTAGTCACCAGCGCTACTCAGCTCCCAAGCTATCCACTTTGGAACCACTTTTCTCCCATAGCGTTGAAGGATCTTCAACTCAGCTGAGGGTGCAGCTGATATAATTGTTGAAGGGAGGAAAATATGAGTGCGATATGTTCGTCCCTTAGGGGAAGTGGAGAAAGCAAATATCCACTGGTCAACTCTAGGGGGAATGCACAAAGTGCGTGATAAGGCGAAAGCGCGGGAACAAAGGCGCTATAGGCGCGCGAAGCGCGGGATAGTCGCGCGTCGAAAAGCGGAACTGGGTGAAAGCGGTATGCGAGTGATAGTGAGATGTTAAGACGTGTACTGAGACGCTGATAAGACAACTGATGCGGATATGGCCACTAGAGCTAACTGCTACTAGGGCTTGCGATGATTTATTTAAAACATAATAAAAACTCGGAGATGGTGACTGTCTATCATCATGGTGGTCCGTGGTAATGTGTGTTTGTTGTGTTGTGTAAAAAATGTGTAATGAAAAATGTGTACCAAGTGAAAATAAACATGGTACGATGTTGAAATAAATGATAAATGGAGAAATGCATACCTGGGAACTTGGTTGGACATGGGAAAACACAGTGGGAAGTCAGGCGCCCTATAGCGCTTAGGCGCGGGAAAATTCGCCTAAAGCGCGCGCAAGTCGCGCAAGTGTCGCCTATGTCGCGGAAGTGTCGCCTAAGTCGCGCGCGTCGTGCGAACGTCGCGTTTATCGCGCTAGTGTCGCGTTGCATGCATGATACTGTAGACTCAACCTATGTTGCAATATGTGCCATTGTGAGGCTACCCAGGATCGAGTCTCTACATCTCCTGGGGGCTTAAATTCTGAGTGTCCCCACTCAGTGCATCAAGTGGTGAACTCAAGCGAAGTTGCAATGGAGGTATGTGATGAGAGAGGAGTGTTATGCGAGTGTGGCTGAGGTGAATGTGATGAGGTGAGACTGGTGTAACTATGGCGCGCTAAGCGCGGGAAAGGCGCAGGCGTAAGGCGTCATAGGGGCGTGAAAGCGCGGTAGAACAGCGGAATGCGCGAAGTGACTCTGGTGTGTGCAAACACAGTGTAAGCGCGGGGATGCAATGATAGCAACTGGCTGAATGGTATGGAGATGATTGCAGTGAGGCGAGAGTGACATGTCTATGGCGCGTGAACAAGGCGACATAGGCGCGCGAAGCGCGGGAACATTCGCGCGTGCAAAGCGGAAGTGCGCGAATGCAGTATGCGAGCGATGGTGCAACTTCAAGAGGATGTAATTATGCGAACTAGTACTCATGACAATGGATGGTGGGTGATGCGAGTGTGGCGTGACTATGGCGCTTTAGGCGCGGGAACATTCGCGCTTGAGGCGCCTGAGATGCGCGGATGTGCGTAATAGCGCGTATGTCGCGATGTCGCGTAGGCGTCGTGTTATGCAGGGAATGTGAAGGGGTGAATGTCCAATGATCTCCAAGGCATAGAAGGCGAAACTGCATGTTGAGGAAGTGGTCCAACCCATGTCCAAACCAAGTCCCACTAGGCGCGCTATGAAACAGGTGCTAAGGGAATGAATGACATGAGTATAACTATAAGCAAAAAAAAAGCGAAAATGAAATGATAAACTTTGCGGATGTCCTGTCCGTCTTGTCTCTTCGTGCAACTATTGACATCTATACCCTCCTATGCGCTAAGCGCGAAAAGCGCGTGCGCGAGGCGCTTGAGGCGCGGGAATAAGGCGATAAGCGCGCGAATGAGGCGCTATAGGGGAGTATTCTAAGGTAAAATGTGCATGGTGCCGTGGCATGCGTTAGAAGCGAAAATGATATCCTACTGAGTGAGGTGGGCACGAGTCTATGGTGGTTTTGTTGTTTTTGTTGTTTTCTTTTAAGTGGATCTATGAATATATATATGTCAGTGTTTTATTAGTGTTTTGGGCGATGTTATGATGAGAGAAATGAAAAATGAAAAGTGCGCTGGACGAAAACCAGGGTAAAACAAACTATATCCTATGAAAAGCGCGGTATATGGTGATTTTAGCGAAAATGATTGTTGAAGCGGTTGAAGCGGATGAGGCGCGAGGCAAAGGCGCGTGAGGCGACAGGGAATGATGTGATCTTCATCTTCAAGACTCTGCAACAACTTCTTCAACCAGGTATGAACTGATTCTTCTGCAAACTCGCGATAGCGGCGGACTAGTAACTGGAGGAATGAATTCTTGCACTTGGTGGCGCCTATTAGGTGCGCACCAAGGCGAGGCGAGGCGACAGTGGTAGAGATGCACTACAGCATGATAGGCGATAGGCGACGCTGGCGCGTTAACGCATTTAGGCGCGAAAATGATTATATCCTCTGTTTGCACGAGGATAGGATGATATTCTGAAAACGCGTTAGTGAGGGATGTATGTGAAGCGAAATTAGGCGCGAATAAGGCGCGAATGATGAGTATGGACAATGTATCAAGGCGACATAGGCACCTGATCATGAATGAATGGTGTTTAATATAAAATGAAAGGGTGATATGGACGCGATTGGCGAAAATGCGAAAAATGCGAGTAAGGACAAGTGATGCAAGGTTAATGGTGATAAGAAGTGATGTAGGCGGATGTTTATGTGTCAGGCGCGCGCCTAAGTCGCGCCTGAATGGCTGATTGAAATATAGTTCATGGTGAATGTGAGGAATGCGATTTAAAAGTGATAAGGTGGTAAAAATGCGATGGAGGGAGAACTTTGGTGTAATGATGGGCGCCTTAGGCGCGAGAATTAAGGCGTGAGGCGCGCGACTGTGGCGCCTAAGTGAGGGAATAATGGTAAGCTTAAATGAAGTCAAAGGCGAAGCATTAGCAACTGATGAAAAACTCAATGAGAGTGAAAACGCGAAATAAGCGAAAACGCGAAATAAGCGAAAAAGGCGAAATATGCGAGGGTTGAATATACAATGCCTCAAAGTGCGTGACATGCGCGACCTCAGGCGCCATAGGGTGCACAGGAGGCGCGTCAGGGTCGCCTGAGACATGATCTATATGGTGGGTGGGTGATGCGATGCATGGATGCTTGATTGGCGCGTGATAGTCACTGTAAGCGGAACACGCGATATGCGCGGTATCATCAGTAACAAGCGGATTTAGCAGAGACAAACTCTGGTCAATGTAAGGCGTGTTTTGGAGCTCTGACACTGCAGAATACTCCTGAATGGGCGCGCTAAAATGCGATGCATGTTTGAGGTCATTGCTGACCATGGGTGACGCAATTTTGTCTTGTAGCGCGTTTGGCGCGTTCACAATAGCGGTAGGCGCATGTACTTCTTGCTGGGGTAAAACAACTTCGTCCAACTGATCTTCTGGGTCGCTTTGGGGCTCTGTAGGCTCGCCTATTATAGGCGCCTCGATGTAGGCTGGTGCAATGGCGATTTCAACAATAGGCGATGTTGGAGTAGGCGGAAGGGGAAGTGTTTCGTGTGTTTCGTGTACTGGCGCTATAGCTGCAGCTACTGGTTGTTCTAAGGCGTGTTCTGGTTGCTGAGGCGCGCCTACAAGTGGCGCTTCATGGGGCGCTTCAAGGGGCGGAAGCGGAATAGCGGAAATCGCGCTAGGGCGCGTGTAGCGGCGCTGAGTACCGCATTCTGGGTACATAAACAAGGCGGAATTAGCAAACTCTTCATAGTTGTTACCTTCATAGTACTGAAATAGCTCTCGCTCGTTAGGCGCGGTATACTTCAAGGCATACTTGATGATGTCCTTATCTGACAGCCCAAGTGGTTGCGCGAGTCGTTCTACTGACTCCAGGAAGTTGACCAGCTGAGTGTAGTCACCTCCAAAACGTGGAGCAGCGCTGCAGGTGCGCAAAGGCATGCCAAAGGAATCTACTGGTGTGTTCATAGTGTGAAAGCGGAGAGGCGTAAATCGCGAATTTCGCGATTTAGGCGGAAAAGCGGACTAGGCGGAATAGCGAAAGGCGGAATAAGCGGATATGCGAGAAGGCGGAATAGGCGGAAATGCGAAAATGCGAATGAGGCGAAATTGCGGGAAGTGGATATGCGGATTATGGAGTAGAGTAGAATAGAGTTGACAGTGTGTGGATATGCTAACTGATCCCCTCGCGGTGGGCTCCAGTTGAAGGATCTTCAACTCAGCTGAGGGTGCAGCTGATATAATTGTTGAAGGGAGGAAAATATGAGTGCGATATGTTCGTCCCTTAGGGGAAGTGGAGAAAGCAAATATCCACTGGTCAACTCTAGGGGGAATGCGCAAAGTGCGTGATAAGGCGAAAGCGCGGGAACAAAGGCGCTATAGGCGCGCGAAGCGCGGGAAAGTCGCGCGTCGAAAAGCGGAACTGGGTGAAAGCGGTATGCGAGCGATAGTGAGATGTTAAGACGTGTACTGAGATGCTGATAAGACAACTGATGCGGATATGGCCACTAGAGCTAACTGCTACTAGGGCTTGCGATGATTTATTCAAAACATAATAAAAACTCGGAGATGGTGACTGTCTATCATCATGGTGGTCCGTGGTAATGTGTGTTGTGTCAAGTAAAAAAATGTGTAATGAAAAATGTGTACCAAGTGAAAATAAACATGGTACGATGTTGAAATAAATGATAAATGGAGAAATGCATACCTGGGAACTTGGTTGGACATGGGAAAACACAGTGGGAAGTCAGGCGCCCTATGGCGCTTAGGCGCGGGAAAATTCGCCTAAAGCGCGCGCAAGTTGCGCAAGTGTCGCCTATGTCGCGAAAGTGTCGCCTAAGTCGCGCGCGTCGTGCGAACGTCGCGTTTATCGTGCTAGTGTCGCGTTGCATGCATAGTATTGTAGACTCGACCTACAGTGCAATATATGCCATTGTGAGGCTACTCAGGATCAAGTCTCTACAGCGTGCTACCTGGTCCAACACCTAGGTATTTTGTCCTCCCATGTCCTGCCTATGTCCACCTACCTCCGCTGGTGCGTTATTTTTCCTTAAATGTTGCTACTCATCAGTCGCAGGTCTTATTACATGTATCCTTGTGTTCCGCAGTGCTGCATGTTTTATTACCTGTCGCTACATCGTGCCCTTGCCAGTGTCGCTACTATACTCGCCTATGCAATCCCGAACCTTTATGCAGTATGATAAAATGACCCGTCACACATACAGTACAGTACTTCCCTTCCCCAGACCTTTGCTGGTGTCGGAGTCACTTTAGTCGCTATATCCTAGTCTTGGTGCAATCAATTCCGCTCTTGCCAATCCCTTTGATCGCGCGTCGCTTGACTTGCTTTAAGTGTGCGTCGCTAAAGTTCCCTCTTAAGTTTGACTTTCACAGCATCGGGATTGCTATCGGTAGTCAAGCTACAATCTAGTTGCTACCAGGCATTTCACTTGCACTGTCTGACCTTACTCCTCACTTTCGCTCCCTTTGATTTCTTCTTGCTGTTGCTAGTCGGACATCGCATAGCACTATCACATAAAACAACTTGCATAGCGCTTCTCACTTATACGCACGTTTCTCTGTCGGAACTCACTTGTCGCTGATCACTATAGCGCTACTCATTGGTTTTTGGTCTTAGGTCACTATAGGTTATTAGTCCTTCGTGCTATCGCTTCCTTGCATATTAGTAGGGAGTTGCTTCAATAGCAGTCCTCTTGGGTCAAATACTACACTCGCGCCTATTTGGATAAGTAGCACTAGTTTCTAACAGCCTAGTCGCTATTACTCTTTCACAACGGGACAACAGAGAAGCTTACCATCCAGAGAACACTCCAATCTTGTGGCCCCTGGTGACATAGTAGACTGTCATGCCATCTTTAGGAGTGATTGGGACATTAAAGTACACTCCATTGTATACATTGAGGATACTGCCAAAGGCAAGAGCAGCGTGCCAGCAGTCAGGCTGGTGGTGGTGGTGATGGCAGCAGCAGGCTCTTCATCATCACGAGCCTCCTCATCACCGCTGATGGAAGACTCGGACTCGGGCTCGGCCTGCAAATCTGTGGCATTTGAAGTAACACCAAGGTTGTCGGAGAGAAGGCCAGAAGCCAGATTTGCACGATCGGTGGAGGAGAGTTGAAGTGATAGCAGCATGACAACAGCCTCTAAATTGAATGTGGTCAGTATGGTAGGATGAACAGAACATGGAGACCAGACTCATTGGACATACCAACTGTGTCTTTGGTTATAGCAGAAGTCTCTGCACCAGCTGAGGACATAATTAATGCTTTGAAGTGGTCGGTACTGGTGTATGAGTGTATGAGATGCAAGGATCGAAAGACTTCCCTTTTATCCATGCAGGCATCTGCAAACTAGAGAATCTTGAGTCTTGTTGAAGATGAGAGAACACGGAACACATACTGGAGAATCTTGAAGCTGACACTCAAGTCATAATAAAGATGAGAAATTTGGCCATGTTACTTAGTAAAGGCATTCAGAATCATTGAACACATTCTCTGATATGACAAACAAAAACAAGCAAGCACAAACTCTTCTTCCCTTCCAACACTGATTTGTGCTGATTCACCAACTGTCTTTACATGGCTGACAGCCTTACATTTGTAGGTGAGTACTCTGTATTACACCCCCCAGTATGTCCAATCTGATGCATGTCCCACTCCCCAGTACGTCCAATAGTCAGCAGGCTCTACACCAGTCTGTTGGAGCTCATGCTTGACAATCTGTCGCATTTCCCACAAGAAGAAACATTTGATTTCCTATCATCACATGTCAGCAAGTGGAGAGGCTGAGCCAGAGTACTTACTACACGACGTTTTGCCAGTGCCCGGCATAGTTGCACACCCATTGAATATGTGATTGGGACGTCTTTTTCCACATCGAAATCTGGCCAGAGGAACTCCCACAATGGCCACGTCTTATCATACTCCTTGAGTAGATCATCAATAAATAGGTCTGTTTCCACAAACCCTGGCTTAAGTTTCCTGTATTCAGGAATTTTGGTATGCAGGAATTCAGCCTGTTGTTTGTCCATCTGGACACAACAGATCATGTTAGACATGATGTCTACAGCAGGACAAGGCTGCACATACCCTGCAGTCTTAGATTTGAGAGCGGGGAGAGCGGGTGTGAGTTTCAGTTGTTAGTCAGAGTTGTGCATTCAGAGCCTTATGTATATATTTCCAGAGAGATCCACATTGTAATGACCATTCTCATGAGGCGCCTTTCCGTGCATCTGATATGACATGGGCTACCAAAAAGCTTCAGGTGCATTTTGAGCATTTTATCCAGCAGCCCTCAGCCACACCTCCTCAACAATGTGTTCGTGAATATACACTGACAACCAGGCGCACCACATTGCAAACGGCATATATACCACTACATAATGAGGTCCCTCTGGAAGGGGAGACGGATGAATTGTCAGCACCCAAGACTCAGTGGCTGGTTCACGACTTCTTTGATGAAGTTCCCCTGGATATGGACACAGATGTCATCACATATGACCTTCCACCTGCAAAGCACAGACAGACTGCAGCTGTAAGCAGTGATCCAGTCAAAATTGAGTATTTGAACTAATAAGAATTGGATCGCACAGGATAACCCTCTCCTTGCTTGGATACCTGAACGCCAAACATTTCTTGATGAAACTATTTTTTGGAAGGGCATAGGCACAAAGCTATTTGCTCACTCTGTCACTGCAGCAATTCCAATAAAAATTACCAGTGCAAGGATTGTTTCGGACCTGGGATGTTCTGTCGTGCCTGTATTGTCCAACAACACCCATGCCTGCCATTGCATAGAATCAAAGTAAGCTTAATTTTGTATCAGCAAAGTGTCTCTTATCTAGCCTGAATGCAGGAGTGGACTGGGAGTTTTTTCCAGCACACAACTCTCAAGTCTCTGGGTATGTGAGTCCAGCTGGGTCACAATCCTGGTCATTGGTGCCATAATCCACATCCCTCATCTGGAAACAACTTTGTCGTCATCGATGTCAGTGGTATTTAAGAGATTGCACTGGATTTTTGCGGCTGCGAGAGTGCATAGATTCGCTTCAAGCAGCTGCTACAAGTATGCTGGTACCCCACAACCACAACCGACCCACAGACAGCTGCTACATTTAATGTACTTGAGTATTACCACCTCCTCTCCTTTGAATCCAAGGTGTCGGCATATGAATTCTACCACAGTCTAGCCAGGTGCAGTGATAACACTGGACTTTCACCTATCAAAGTAAGTTCCAACATGATTTTGGGTCGTAAGTTTTACTGACAAATAATAATCTTATGCAGGATCGGTACTCAGCTTTCATGCGCATGGTGCGTGAATGGTGGCACCTACTCATCCTTCACTGCAGGTGGCTGTATGCACTATTTATCGCAATAGATGCGAATTTCTGCCTCAAACGCAAAGCAGTCTCTTCAAATGAAGTTGATCCAGGCTTTGAATGCTGGGTGGGCATACTTTGTGGAGGAAACAAAGTACAAGGAATATCTATCTGTGTGGGCAGGCGAGAAACAAGAGGTATGTGTACTTTTGTATCTACTTGTAATGTCTGACACAAACCTTTTCTAGCATAGCACCTGTGTTGGCCACAATGCAGTCAACATGGCCAACACAAAATCAGCACGTGGCCTAGCAGCAACTGGTGTAGGTACTGTTGACTGCGCATGCCATGAATTCAAGTTGCCGACTAGGGTAGGAGATCTTCAAAAGGGTGAAAAGTAAGTTATGCTTGAATTCGTTTGGTCTGTTAATTGACGATGAACTGGAGGTACCTTAATATGGACTACTTTGTGTTTTCAGCCCTGATTGGGTTTATGGTCACAATGCTCAACATCTCATATGACATCACATGCCAGTGGTCAAAGAAACTATGGACTAGGATGGACTCCATGCCGGCTCATTTGCATGTGCTGCATGACGCAATGCAGATTCGTTACTTTGTTCCCAAGTTCCATATCGGAGCTCACATTGCTGCCTGCCAGACTATGTTCTCATGGAATTTAGCCAGGTTTGTAGGCAGGACTGATGGAGAGGCGCCTGAACGTGGGTGGGCAAATGTCAATCGGGTGACCTCAAGCACAAAAGAGATGGGACCAGGGAGCCGACTGTGATACACTAGATGACCATTTTGGCGACTGGAACTGGAAGAAAGTCACAATGTTTGGTGATTTTTTTTTTCACTCCAACATTATTCAAAGCTCCTTGCTGAAGTGTTGAGAAGGCAGACCTTGAAACGCAAGATGGAGGATGCAGCAAAGTGGAAGCGGGGAACACTGTGCTGCCTTGGATGAGCAGGAGGGAACCATTCAGCCCGTGTTACTGGATGAGTAGAGGCTAGAAGTCGAGGCATGGGAGGAGGACAATATCAAGCCAAACCCTTTCGAAAGCAGAGTCGCTTGTGAGTCATCTCTTGTTTCCTCTGCAGCTTTGGCTGATCACTGCTTAGCTATTACCCAGGCAGCAGTGCATGCTCAGCTTGTGGATTTGGAAGCGCAGGAATTGGAAGCTGGGAATGATTGCTCACTTCATGTGAATGTCTCACCCAGCATACTTATAAGTAGTGGGATTGAATTGGAGGATCAGCAGTGCGTTAAATTATCATTGTCGTCATCTTTTTGTTCTGATGCCAATAACAGACAGCGGCTGAAATATGACATTGCCAACGTCTCACTTCGTCCTACAGACAAGCAACAAGAGGCCATCACCAACAGGACTAATGCACTACAGAGATGGATAGACTCATGGATAAGCATCCAAGAACTTTACATGCCCATAGTTTCAGCACTCCATTCGTCAGTCAACTCTAACACCAGTGCCATGGAAGCTGTCCTCAAGCCCCAACAGCTGTCATCTGTATCTTCCATCTTCAATTGACACCCATTTACATTGTGACCAGCAGCTCCTCCAGCATGAATGGGAGCTCTGGCACGCCCAGGCCCATGATGCCCTTAATGAAATCTGTTCCCACCTCTGTCTGCGCTCCCACATGTATAAATTCAAGGACAAGAACCTATATGGCCAAGTGGCATCCACTTGCACTCAGAATCTGATTGCACGTGTTGAAACGAAGAAAGATGCAGGAATTGAAAAATACAAGCGTGCACGTCAGGCACTGGAGTCACTGAGTGGTTATTTGGATAAGGTGGGCTGGGAAGTATCTTTATGATCTCTCAGAAGTGAAGATGTGAGACCTATGGGTGATTTTGTGGGTGGGCACACTCAAGGAACAGGAACGATATCATGGATTTGGCTAGCCACAGGTGTTGATACTGGCCGCTCCAAAAATGACCGTGTTCAAGATTGTAAATTTCTCAAGCTTGCAAGAAGGACATGTAACTGATTGCACTTCTAGGTGTTTGAATTGAGTGGTGTAAAGCTTGTGCACGTGCTGCACGATGGTCTGAGGAAGTGCAGCTACTGCTCGAAGAAATGAGGCACATGCTGGTTTTTTTGCAGTGGCAGGCCAACTGGTGGTGCGAGCGTGCCAACCTACGTGTACTGGAGAAGCCCTCCAACCAGGAGGGCCTGCAAGCATATGCATATCGTCAGGCCGCACTATGTTGTGCGGTGCATGGCTCATTCCAAGCATTGTGGAGTGCTGTGCCTCGACTTGTGGAATCCACCCTTATCCCTGAGGTCTCAGAGTTGAACAATATCCATACACCTTCAATTGACTGCCCCCCGACTTGCATGATGAGCCTCCATATGACGAAGACTATGTGTAGCGCTACATTTGTGTACTATATGTTGTGACATGTCCAGGTACTCAACTCTTTGTGATTGTTACATCAGCATGTCAGATCCAATCTGAGATCCTCGATCACAAGAAGAGAATGAAATAGAATGCGAACATATGGAAACAGGTACAGAACATACAGGAACAGGAACAGAACATACAGGAACAGGAACAGAACATACAGGAACAGGAACAGAACATACAGGAACAGACTCAGAACCTGAATGTATAGCACAAGGGAGGACTGGTAGGGACTATGATCTATAGTAAGATGATATATCACACCACCTGATGTATTATGGTTGAAAATGTATCATGGACTTACCATAACTATGGGGAGTGATATATCATTACCACAGGGACAGGTGAGTACTTGTCATGAATTGTCTAGTGCTGCCGAAGTTCAGTTCCGTCCGGTTTTTTCAAGATAACTGAGGACCAAGAACTGAACCTCGGTCAAGTTCACAAAGGTAGGGTGGACTCTGGGCCGGACCACTTCGAACGGGTTCACAATGGTCGGGTTCGAGTTTGAACCAGTTTGAACTGCCGAACACAACATGAAATTAGCAAAATTTTCCAAGTACGAACAATTGTAGGCTAGACTATTCAACAATAAAAATTTGAGGAGCAACAAGCTCAGCCTGCACCATTGCTGATACATGGCCTTGACGGTATGCACTTTTTAACAGTTGAAGTGCCTCAAATGTCTCTGGAAGCAAGCAGTTGCGACGTGTGGTGCCGGTGATGCCGCCACTTGAGAATGCCCGTTCAGATGCTACCGCAGACCCCTGAATAGCGAGGTAATCTTTTGCGATGCGAGCAACAGTGGGATACTGAACCGAGTGATGCTTTAAAAAAATAATTGTCAGCTTCAAGTTACACGGAATATTAAGGATATGAGCTTACACCCCACCACGCGACTACATTCTCAACATCCTCCAGTGGTGCAGCTAAGTAGTCCTCCAATTCCCGACGAGGCCTTTGACGAGCTGCGTCATGTGAGACACGAGCTTTGATTGCATCGCGCATCCAGCTCTGGCCAGTAGGAACCTTGGCGTGAGAGGGATGGTGTAGCAGAATGTGTCGTCGCAGCAGATGAAGGAGGGGCACGATAATACTGATCAAACTAGATACTAAGTTAGTGCGCAGACAATTTATTGAGATACCCATGGACTTACCACATCTTCGAGCCGTTTCACTCCATCAGCAAAGTCTTGAGACGCCCATTTTGCCTTAGCATAGGCAACTTTGTAGTTAGGGTCGAGGGCTGCATGATGAAAGTAAGAGTGTCGTCAAAATGAGAATGTGTTCAGGATGGGGCGAGATGGGCATGTCATCGTCAGGATCATGATACCATTCGATTTCGGACGCATCCTTCAAAACACCATTAGCATTAACTGCAGAGTTCGACATGTTTTGATGAATGAGCTAACCTTGGACGCACCCCACCCTTTTATCCTTTGCTGATGTTCTGCGTAAGACCAGAATGAGATATGAATATCCACTCTGATCAATTGCATCGGTGATGATAGTGCCGGTGATGATTGCGCCAGTGATGATTGCACCGGTGACGATTTCACCGGTAAACTTACTGATATGTCAACAGTGAGCATCTTTCGACGAACCTGAGGAGTCGCAGAACAGAAGCAACAAACCTGCAACTCTAATGATGGGTTCAGGACCGGTTCAGACTCGTCCGAACTGGGTCCGACGTCCATCCGAGACCACCCGAATGAAGAACCTATGTAAGGTTCGGTCCTGTATCGTATGTCGAACTACTGACCGAACGGTGGTTCCGTTCGCAAAAGTTCAGGTTCAAACCTAGGTTCGGGACTGAACTGCGGCAGCACTAGAATTGTCTACTATATAGCTTTAAAGCAGCATCCCTAAACCTTGCCCGAACCAGTTTCAAACCTCATCATCCCTAAACCTTACGGGCCATTGTAACCCTTGCCATGTTTGGCCTAGACTTTGTCCCAAAACTGGCAACTTAGATGACATTTCGGGTCTTTCCAAGTAGCCAACCACTAGGTCCAATATCCACAACCCTGCCTCAACCTCAGTACTTGACCAGTCCTAAATGTAACCTTTGAAACCCTTTCCACACATTGTATTGTTCAGTATAAGTATACAATGTTATGCTTTTTCATATATCATATATCACGTGATCACTCGAAATACGACTTTGAATTGATTACATAAAATAATCAAGTACTTGTGTACAACATGTGCACTCAAGGTTTAGTAATGACGAGGTTTGAAACTGGCTCGGGCAAGGTTTAGGGATGCTGCTTTAAAGCTATATAGTAGACAATTCATGACAAGTACTGTAGAGTATTGTTCGGCGCTGCGCGCCGCAAGGTTTAGTCCAAAGTCCGACGATTATCTAAGGTTACCGTTTTGGGTAGGGGTGTATGTGCGAGGGGGTCGTGTGCGTGTGCGGTGTGCGGTGTGCGACGTGTGCGCCCAACTTTGAGCGTCCCTATTAATGGCATCACCAACAGATGATGCATCGAATGCATGCATCGCCCTATATTGCTGCTGATGCATCAGTATTGGCAGGCCTACAATTTTAGCATAAATGGCATCACTACTAACGCTGCAATCACAGCAATTTCTTGCATTACTACGACAAGGACGCCTGGACAGCCTTCAATCAAATGTCAATGCACAGACTAATTTTGGTTAGTTGGGACAGGCCCAGTGGCGGCCATCGACTCGTGTCCTTCTAATGTGTTATATAAATACGAGATATCCTCTCATCTGATCAATTTGCTCCACATCCCCGTTCTTGAGTTGCTCATCCTCTGCTAGTAGTAGATCATGTTGACAATCACCAACGTTACCTGGCTGGACCTACTATGCCTTACCGGTGTTGGAGTCTATCTGGTAAAGCAGGTACTCATCAAGAAGAATCCTGCACCATATCCACCTGGTCCCCGGGGGTGGCCTCTCATTGGCAATCTTTTAGATATGCCTCGCATCAAACCCTGGCTCACATTTACTGAGTGGGGTAAGAAATATGGTGAGTGCCTCCCTTTTTCCAATATCATCCATTTTCAAAAGTCTTCCTGCAGGTGATATCACGCATATCGAGGTTCTGGGTCGGCACATCATTGTGCTGAACTCTGTCAAGACTGCAATGGAAATGATGGACAGAAAAAGCATCTTGTACTCTGACCGTCCTGTTCTTCCTATGGTTGGTGAACTTGTTGGTTGGAAGGACTCTTTGCCTGGCCTCTCATATGGCGACCGTTTTCGCCGGCAACGCAAGAACATACAACGCGTCATCGGCAGTCGCGCCGCAGTGGACGTATACAACGAGACCGAGAAGGTCGAGACACTTCGATTCCTGAAGCGTGTGCTTGCGAGACCCGACCGACTGCAGGAGCATATCCGACAGTATGTATTATTATCCTCGCAATGACGTTATCTTGAATTTTCACTATAGCACTGCTGGTGCTATCATTTTGCGCATCACTTATGGTTATGAAGTGAAAGAGAATGATGATCCCTTCGTTGACCTTGCAGACCGCGCTATGTCCCAGTTCTCCCAGGGTCAGTCCGGTAAATTTATGGTTGATATTTTACCATTCTGTGAGCTATATTATTCTGACATTTGGGTTGGCTTCCGATGACCTGAAAATTTTAGTGGCAAAGGTCCCCGCGTGGTTCCCCGGTGCTGGCTTCAAGCGCATAGCACGTGAATGGCGCGGGACACTCGAAGAGATGGTTTCTGCACCCCACGAGTTCGTCAAGGACCAGATGGTGAATAATTTGCAGTTTTGTGATCATGCATTGAAGCTCAAATTTTACAGGTTGCTGGCATCGCCCCCATGTCTTTTACCTCGAATCTCTTAGAAGGCGGTGATATATCTGCGGAAGAGGACCACACTGTGAAATGGTCTGCTTTTTCCCTATATGCCGGCGGTTCCGACACGGTTGGTCCCTACATATCTATGTTTCTAATCATCATCTTCTGAAAGTACTGCGCCTATTTCCTCAGACTGTTTCTGCAATATACTCGCTTTTTCTAGCTATGACACTTTTCCCTGATGTGCAGAAGAAAGCTCAGGCTGAAATAGATGCGGTCGTCGGTCCTGATCGTCTTCCCTCCTTCGCCGACCGCGAGTACCTCCCCTATACTGAGGCGCTTGTCAAAGAAGTCCTGCGTTGGAACGTTATCGCTCTCGTCAGTATGTGGATCTTGTTCATGACACTATTTATTCGCCAACGGGTATTTCAATGACAGGTGCACACTGTGTGACCAACGACGATATCCATGACGGGTACTATATTCCAAAAGGCTCCTTAATAATGCCTAACATTTGGTTGGTGCTCCCCTTCGGTTGATGGACAGAATGTAATGCTCTTGATCGCGACAGGTTCATGCTCAACGATCCACAAACATATGCTAACCCCTCGCAATTCAATCCTGAACGCTTCTTGGCTAAGGATGGAAAGGAACCTGAGACGGAGCCTCGCACGATTTGCTTTGGCTTTGGTAGACGGTAAGCATAAATTTGGTTCTGAATCTGATCGGAATCCTAATTTTCTGCTCCGCAGTATATGCCCAGGTGTGTCCAACTCGCATCAATCAACTAGCAGTAATCTGACGTTTGCTTGCTTTTGATGTACAGGTATCTACCTTGCTGAAGCCTCCATTTGGATATCCACTGCGATGTCACTGGCCGTGTTTGATATTTCGAAGGCTATCGAGAATGGTGTCGAGATCACCCCCGAGGTTGAAACCTTACCAGGTGTGATCGGGTATGTCGCATATCTTGTACGTCTGGCGCTAGTCTCGATTAACACACTCCAAGCCACCCCAAACCCTTCAAGTGTTGTATTAAGCCTCGCTCTGCGACTGCCCTTGGGCTTATTGAACAAGATGCTCTAATAAGCTCATGATTGTGAAACCGCAGAAACACGGAGGGTTAATACTTAAGCATGCGTTGTAATTTACATGTTGCACTCAGGAGTTGTGCAATATGATTCTTGGGGTTTGCGCAGGGAATCATTTGTTTCTGTGGAACCTGTGGACATAATGTTAACGAGACTGTACTCAACTAGCCCACACCCATTGTGCCTGGATCCGCACTGCCTCTTCCTTCTCTTTTGGTCTGACTAGGGGAGACTAGAACAACATTGAATGACTCGTCGGCAAGTAGATGCGGTACTACTATATACAAGGACTCCCCTTCGGTCGGCTCTACGACAGCTATTATACGATTTTGGCGCTCACTGGTGCCGGCTTTATCTTGGCACTTCTTGGCATCGCCACTTACGCATGGTTTGGACTTCAGCGGGTTGTTGGGATATTCACATTGGCTTGTCTAGGTGTTAGTTTGTTGTCATGTGTGTGTGGGCGGTGGTGTACTGAGCCTGCTTTGACTACGTACGGCCCATACCCTTGACGACTTGCATGATTATCGATTACGTTCTATAGTCTCACTCGTGTTGTTAACAACAGCACGACTCATTCACGACTTATTTGAAGCTGTACACTAAGTACTTCGAGTGTTGTATTCAAGACTCATTGGTAAATTTTTGCTTTCTCGACGATCCCGCTGAAGCAGGTTTTCACTGATCCGCGTCGTTGTGCTTTTCTTCGCGAAGCCTCTACTAAGTGAGTCATTCTCGTCTAGCCTTTTATATTTTATGTTATTATTAATGATATAGGCTGTACGTTCGGGTTTCCACTCTTTTTGTGTAACGTGGCCGACGACAATCCCAGCGGTCCAGATCTATATATCATCCACGCAGGTTCTGATTCTAGGGCTCCAATAGATTCATCCTAAACCATCCGTTGTGAAGTTCTGCCATCCAGGCGCAACCAATCTGCCAAATCAATAGAACTTCAAGTTTTTGCCCACAACAATGTTTTCAGGATATAAAAGCAAGCTCTGCCTACCTCAGTAGTTCAGAGTCTCCTTTGCGAAGCTTTTATCGCTTTGTCGACGAGGAACTTGAAGGAGAAATCATGTCTCCTTCAAGTTCCTCGTCGTCGTTACTACTTTGGCAGCATGCATGTCTGTCACTGCCGCACAGTGCAAACCTTCCTTAAAGGTCTGCGATACGAACAATAATTGCTGCAGTCACAACTGTGCTCCGGTGAAAGTGAGTATGAGTAGCTTGCTTTGGATCGAATATTCGATCCTGTTGCTCACCTCTTGCACCTCGCAATATCAATAGCGCGGCGGTCAGAAAATCTGCCAGTAAGACTGCTTACCGATAGGCTGGCAGCCCGTCCACGAGCACATCTGGGCAGTGAGTCGTGTTTCCGCTTTCGCATTGGTGCTGTGGCTGATGGCACAATATATAGTTCGTTGCTGACTTGGTCAATGTGGTTGTTCCTGAAGTCTGTTATTTTCCCTGCTTCATGGGCAATAGAGGCGCCTTTTTGATTAATCTGAACACTCAATATTGACTTACTTGAGGAGACGTGAGGAGCGATTTCAATGTCCAGAATTGTGCTGCGTCGTTCAGCGCTTGAATATTCATTGCCGAAGTCTGCATTATGTGTATAGCGGTTGTAGCAGTCGAGGCGGGAATTTTGACCGTCGCTGATGGGTGCGTCAAACTTTGGACATTTTCAATATCCATTCAACATCATGACCGTCTCACTACCCAACTTTGTTTGCGGGAAAAGTTCAGTTTTCAGGCTTGTTCTTGCTGAACATTCATTCGTGGATGGATCCTTCAAGGTCTATCTTAAGTAGTCATAGCCGACTGGCACCAGTTAGAAATATTGGTGATGCGGATTCAATGCCGACAAATGTCTTATCGCACCCTGGACATTCACTCATGGACAGACAGTTCTTCGGAAGTTCATCTCAACCTCTGAAGTGTACTGGCCAAAGTGATCACCACAACAGAATCCAAATCTGTTTCTCTTGGACCGTGCAGGTTCGAAACCTGCTGACAATTTATTTTTCTCTTTGAACACCCTGATATTCACTCATAGATGGTTTCATCAGAGGTTCGTCTAACTGGTCTTAGCTAAGTGGTTACCACTGCAACAGAATCAAAATATGTTTCTCTTGAACTGCGCAGATTCGAAACCTGCCGACAATTTTTCTCTCGGAACACCCTGACATTCACTCACGGATGGTTTCGTCAGAGGTTCATCTAACTGATCTTAGCTAAGTGGTTATCACAAAGTGAAGCTCACAGCGGAAGTGGGTTCTGACGCGTGACGGACCCGAATCACACACTTAAAGCTGAACAACGATGTTAGCAAGAATGCGACAGATGATATTCATACGGGGCCCGTAAGATAAGCCTGGTGGACAGGTAAGGATTGGGTGGGTGGGGCAGCACGAGAAAGATGATGATGACGAGCAAACGAGTCCATAACGCGGTTAAGCTCCAGCAAACGCTCCGTGTTGGCAGAGGAGGCGATGAAAAGAGGCAATATGATATTGGGGGTACCCGAATGGATACCTTGATTCGCTGACAGACTGGACATCGTGTAGCATCAACCTACATGTGTTGATAATGATTAATAAAATCTGATGAAAGTGTCACGTACAGCGAGTAGCGACTTGTCGGCGTCGCGCTGATCCAACAAAAGTTCATCGAGGCCAACCTCTATACTATCACAGAAATATCCCAAGGGTACGCATTTTGTCCTCAAGGGCGGTGGCTAGTGACTTTCCATCTGCCGAAAACAACACAGATTGCATGTCAGATACATGACGGAGGGGCGAACTGATGCACTGGTTGTTGCCGAGATTCCGTAATCGCGCTGTGTCGTCGTACGATGCGCTTGCAAGGATGCAACCATTCCGGTATGGTGGATCTTTGGTGACGGTTCAATTTGGCGTCCGATGACATCCCATACTCCCGCACTTCAGCTGCCGGACGCGTCGTAGGCGTTTGCACGTGTTGCAGTACAAGGTGGTCATTTTCCGCACTCTTGAGAGAGCTGTGCACAATTGGAGTTATCATTGATCAAAGAGTACCAAAACCTTGGCCTTAAGTGGAGCGCACACATGCCGTCGATGCGAATCTGCCGTCGGATTCGAGACCAGCACTGTACACGCTGGACAACGGGTAGCACGAAGTGGTGCTGCAGTAGTCGAGCTCACCGTTGCTCACAACGAGCACGAACGTTTCGGCAATGTCACCGGTGTCGACTCAGAAACCTGGTGTGACATACAAGTGATATTATTTGTTAGGTGTGCTCTGTATACAGAATAATAAATACGGCGGACTATGAAAAATGGTAACATAATGTATGCGCCATGGCGGCAAATCGAACCTCACCAAAGATCCACCATAGTCTTCAGGAAATCAGCTCAAACCTCCAACTTGCACTCAACGTTCAGGAACAAAGCGTAGGCACCTACCGGTCACCATCATGCACGCCACCTAATGCAGCACGCACACTTGATATTAAATGAGAATGCTCGAATGGGATTGCCCCTGATGTTACTGATATCTTCTTCATATACCTAGAAGCCTGGCGAGTGCGCAAGGTACCGATCGAGGTGCCTCCCTCGTGACGTCAACAGGCGCCAAACCGAGTTCAAGCCTCCGAGCCTAGCTAAGGCGCGTCCAATAATTTGCAAAACTCCTTTTGCAAGTTCCACGAGTCCGTCTCGAGCTCCCCGACCATAGTTATATCGCCAAACTGTTAAAGCAGAGTCTGGGGTCTTTTCATTACATAATTATGTAGGGTGTCTGGACCTTGTTTGCTCAGTCGTTCCAAGCAACCGAGAAAGGTCCAGACTCCGAGGTAATCACCATACCAGACAGCCTTCAATCAAATCTTAATGCACAGACTGATTTTGGTTAGTTGGGACAGGCCCCCAGTGGCGGTAATCGACTCATGTCCTTCTAATGTGTTATATAAATACGAGATATCCTCTCATCTGATCAATTTGCTCCACATCCCCGTTCTTGAGTTGCTCATCCTCTGCTAATAGTAGATCATGTTGGCAATCATCAACGTTACCTGGCTGGGCCTACTATGCCTTACCGGTGTTGGAGTCTATCTGGTAAAGCAGGTACTCATCAAGAAGAATCCTGCACCATATCCACCTGGTCCCCGGGGGTGGCCTCTCATTGGCAATCTTTTAGATATGCCTCGCATCAAACCCTGGCTCACATTTACTGAGTGGGGTAAGAAATATGGTGAGTGCCTCCCTTTTTCCAATATCATCCATTTTCAAAAGTCTTCCTGCAGGTGATATCACGCATATCGAGGTTCTGGGTCGGCACATCATTGTGCTGAACTCTGTCAAGACTGCAATGGAAATGATGGACAGAAAAAGCATCTTGTACTCTGACCGTCCTGTTCTTCCTATGGTTGGTGAACTTGTTGGTTGGAAAGACTCTTTGCCTCTCCTCTCATATGGTGACCGTCTTCGCCGGCAACGCAAGAACATACAACGCGTCATCGGCAGTCGCGCCGCAGTGGACGTATACAACGAGACCGAGGAGGTCGAGACACTTCGATTCCTGAAGCGTGTGCTTGCGAGACCCGACCGACTGCAGGAGCATATCCGACAGTATGTATTATTTATCCTCGCAATGACGTTATCTTGAAATTTCACTGTAGCACTGCTGGTGCTATCATTCTGCGCATCTCTCATGGTTATGAAGTGAAAGAGAATGATGATCCCTTCGTTGATCTTGCAGACCGCGCTACATTCCAGTTATCGCAGGGTCAGTTCGGTAATTTTATGGTTGATATTTTACCATTCTGTGAGCTATATTATTCTGACGTTTGGATTGGCTTCCGATGACTTGAAAATTTTAGTGGCAAAAGTCCCCGCGTGGTTCCCCGGTGCTGGCTTCAAGCGCATAGCACGTGAATGGCGCGGGACACTCGAAGAGATGGTTTCTGCACCCCACGAGTTCGTCAAGGACCAGATGGTGACTAATTTGCAGTTTTGTGATCATGCATTGAAGCTCAAATTTTACAGGTTGCTGGCATCGCCCCCATGTCTTTTACCTCGAATCTCTTAGAAGGCGGTGATATATCTGCGGAAGAGGACCACACTGTGAAATGGTCTGCTTTTTCCGTATACGCTGGTGGCTCCGACACGGTTGGTCCCTACATATCTATGTTTCTAATCATCTGCTGAAAGTACTGCGCCTATTTCCTCAGACTGTTTCTGCAATATACTCGCTTTTTCTAGCTATGACACTTTTCCCTGATGTGCAGAAGAAAGCTCAGGCTGAAATAGATGCGGTTATCGGTCCTGATCGTCTTCCCTCCTTCGCCGACCGCGAGTACCTCCCCTATACTGAGGCGCTTGTCAAAGAAGTCCTGCGTTGGAACGTTATCGCTCCCACCGGTATGTGGATCTTGTTCATGACACTATTTATTCGCCAACGGGTATTTCAATGACAGCTGCACACTGTGTTACCAACGACGATATCCATGACGGGTACTATATTCCAAAAGGCTCCTTAATAATGCCTAACATCTGGTTGGTGTTCCCCTTCGGTTGATGGACAGAATGTAATGCTCTTGATCGCGACAGGTTCATGCTCAACGATCCACAAACATATGCTAACCCCTCGCAGTTCAATCCTGAACGCTTCTTGGCTAAGGATGGGAAGGAACCTGAGACGGAGCCTCGCACGATTTGCTTTGGCTTTGGTAGACGGTAAGCATAAATTTGGTTCTGAATCTGATCGGAATGCTAATTTTCTGCTCCGCAGTATATGCCCAGGTGTGTCCAACTCGCATCAATCAACTAGCAGTAATCTGACGTCTGCTTGCTTTTGATATACAGGTCTCTACTTTGCTGAAGCCTCCATTTGGATATCCGCTGCGATGTCACTGGCCGTGTTTGATATTTCGAAGGTTATCGAGAATGGTGTCGAGATCACCCCCGAGGTTGAATCCTTACCAGGTGGTATCAGGTATGTCGCATATCTTGTCGCGTCTGGCGCTGGTCTGGATTGACACACTCCAAGCCACCCCAAACCCTTCAAGTGTTCTATCAAGCCTCGCTCTGCGACTGCCCTTGGGCTTATTGAACGAGATGCTAACTGATAAGTTCATGATGGTGAAACCGGAGGATAATACTTAACATGTGTTGTAATTTGCGTGTTACACTCAGGAGTTGCGCAATATGCTTCTTGGAGTTTGCACAGGGAATCATTTGTATAATACTGTACTCAACTAGCCCACACCCATTGTGCCTGGATCCGCACTGCCTCTTAAGTTCCTTCTCTTTTGGTCTGACTAGAACGGCATCGAATGCGAATGACTCGTCGGCGAGTAGATGCGGTACTACTATCTATGTGTGGATATGAGAGTGTGAGCGAATTTCGAAACTGAGACTCCTAGTCTAGGGTTCGGAATATATAGTCTTCCCCAGTCAGACCAAAAGAGAAGGAAGACAGTCGTTCCTTCTATATTGGCTCGGAACGTGAAGTATTGCGTGCCAAAGGTTCTCGACCAGCTTCGAGCGCCTGGAAATCGACGATCCGCTCGGAAGCTTGGCAGCCACAATCTCACAGCTGGCAACGCGCTCGCCTCGCCGTACAACAGATATCTATTTCTTCCTGTAGGAGATGCTCGACGAATACATTTTTACACTACCTCTTTGGACTACAAACCTCACCCAAAGGACCATCAAATTTTTACATTAATGCGAATTCGACACACCTTATATGCATGCCGGGCACGCGGACAACCTTCTTATCGAACCTCATCATGATCACTTCATCATTTACCCACTGTCCTTTCGATCTTTGTCTGCCAGCCGTAAACATGTCTACCCAAGCATAACGTATCGTGATTGATATTCGTGACTGGCGGCTGATACTGTCAGCCTACTTAGGTAGGTACTACTGATGGTTGACTGATGCGGCGGCATGGACCCTGTCGAAGCTTGCTCCACCGTCTACATAGAATTATGTTGTTTCCGTAATATCAACGCCGAGAGATCCGCAGTGGTGCAACCAGTTGATTAATCTCCTAGGGTCCAGCGCTATTGGGCACAAGACGTATATAAATGGTGGGTCCGAGAAGTCTTGTCAATCCAGTGGACACTCAGGTCTCAGCGCTCAGCACTCAGTACTCAGTGTTACAACGTAAATCCGTGAGAAATCTTGTAGCCAGCTTATATCCGCTAACTAGACGCTGCAGGCGCCCCCAACTCACAAGGACACTCTGCACGCAACATTGTTCTTGTGAACACGCACACCAATCTGTAAGTCATGTCTACTCAAGGAGACCTCGAACGAGCAGACCCCGGGCCAAATTTTGGTATGAATTTGATCACATTCTGTCAATCCAGTAGAAATCTTGAGAGATGCACAGATGGTCAACGTGATGAACAAGTTAGCAAGACTCAAAAGGATAAAAAAACAACTACGGGAGAAGATTCGGCGCTTGTGGCAGCATGGATGCATCGACTCCAGACACTCACTCTTATAGTAAGCCATTGTTCAGTGACTCTGGTTACATGAATCTTGAACGACCCGTCAGACGACATTTCTTACTTCCATCGACGGAGAGCTCTTCACCCTTACCCAGTCCTCCACACCGCAGGTGACACTCAATGCAAGTGAGGAATCTGTGGAACTCGTGTATGCATGTTTTACTGGTGCCCTCGTTTTTCATGGCTGTTCTGGTGAGTATCGGGATGGTTGGGGAATCGCGAGGCACTAACAGCTTGTGTTAGCAATTCTGGGATACGTGGCGTCTTTTGCTCTCATTCGATACCAGATCGTTGATGCAGAAACCCATCCCGTTACGGAAACCGATGAGCTGGGAAACCGTTCTCATACTGTTTTACATCACCACGAAAGCATTCACGGAAAACAACTCTGGCTTAGAGCCATCCCTCCTTTGTATGCTGTACAGTCCCTTCTTCAGATGCCCTCGAGGCTCCGGATTCAATCCAGGACGTCCACTCCCCCACTGGATCTCCTGACTCGGTGCTATTATACGATTTTGGCGCTCAGTGGTGCCGGCTTTATCTTGGCACTTCTTGGTATCGCCACTTACGCATGGGTTGCACTGCAACGGGTTGTTGGGATATTCACAATGGCTTGTCTAGGCGTTAGTTTTCTGTCATGTGTGTGGGCGGTGGTGTACTGAACCTGCTCTGACTATGTATGGACCATACCCTTGACGACTTGCATGATTCCGATTACGTTTCATAGAGTCTCACCCATGTTGTTAACAACAGCACGACTCATTCACGACTTATTTGAAACTGTACACTAAGTACTTCAAGTGTTGTATTCAAGATTCATTGGTAAGTGTCTTCAGCATCGCAAGCGGGAAATCAGTTGAAGTTCAAACGTTCAGGAACAAAGCGTAGGCATCCACCGGCCACCACTGGCATGTACGCCACCACTGCAACATACACATTTGACATTAAATGAGAATGCTCGAACGGGATCGCCCCTGATATTATTGATATATACCAAGAGGCCTGGCGAGTGAAGGTGCCGATCGAGGTGCCTCCTCTCGTGACGTCAACAGGCGCCAAACCGAGTTCGAGCCTCCGTGTCCGGACTTTGTTTGCTTAGGGTTGAAGTCGTTCGAAGGAACCGGGAATTTCAGGTCCGAATGATAACAGGATGCCGGACACTGCCAAGTCTCGCGGCCTTTAGCTCATCGAGACCCTAAACCGGTTTCTGGTAGCCTGTTGTCAGTCGGACCTTACTCGGTTCTTTCGAGTTTCTCCAAACCCTGCACAGACAAAGTCCGAACACCCTCACGTCATTCACAACGAAAAGACCCCAGGCTCTGCTCGACATGTTCGCTTCAGCTTAATGCTGCGATTATTATTGAATGAATAGTAGTCTAACTGACAAAACACAAGCATGGCTGAAGGACAAGGTCGAAACTAACAAGTTTGCATTGCCAGCTCTATACCGACCCACGAGCTTTATTACTGAAGATATATGGCGCGCATGTCCAGCTACCACGAACGGCAATGAGCAGGCTCACCGCAATGTTAACCGTGACGGCGTGAACTTGACACTACGACCGAGCAGCGCAGAGCATTGATGTTCATGTGTCATTGGGCATTGACACTCGTGATCGTGATTCCACTCATGTTTACCGTGCATCGAGAAGTATCACTCGTCAAGGTATGTATCTCCACTCGCACCATTCAATTTTTGACAATAATTTAGCTCTATCACAGCGCCGCCACGTCACGCAAAATCCAGTGGTACGACCCGGCGCAGACAATGAACACCAGGATGCACTGCAGCAACCAGCGCCCCGAAGAATCACACCAGTACCATCCTGCACACTTGCTAATGCCCTTCGCCCAGACATAAGAGGAGTACCGGAGCCATGTCTATGGCCGGGGCAGCATACTGTACACACTTATATCGCTGCGCGCCAAGTTGTGACTAGCGAGTTCGACGACTCGCTAGTTCCACTCCACCTCACCCATGTTCCCATCTCGCAGTTCAGTACTATTGATGGTGCACTTCGTGGGTGAGCACTTAGATTATGTACAATATAATACAGCCTCGTTGTTTCAACCATGCTTGGGCGCCACTCAAACCTCAATCAACCCAACCTACAACAAGACATTCTGTCCCATTTTACAGCCATGAGCCGGCCTCACAAAGGGTTCTGCGTTCGGTTCAAACCAACGCAGCTTTTTGCTTGTCCATATTACCTCCCCCTCCCTACAGCAAGACATTCTGACCCATTTTACAGCCACGAGCAAGCTTCACGTTTTCAAGGAGTCAACTTGAAACATATTCATTAATACACGCCAAGATACAAATGACACGACATCCGACCAACTACCATGTTAGTAATGAGAGCGGTACATATGGGAACGGTTTGGGAACGGTACGAAGTTGAGGGAAAGACATTGATGAGAGGAAGACAATGACAACAGATGTTATGGAGGAGCAAGCATGCAAAAAGTGAGGATATTTAGACTTTGAAAATGTGATGAAGAGACTCGGAAGATCGAACCGACAGAGTAAGGGAATGGAATTCGAAACATGCGGGGAGTAAGAACATCTTGAAGGCCGTTAGTATACCGCTCGATAATAATCGCACTATTAAGCTAAAGCGAACATGCCGAGCAGAGCCTGGGGTCTTTCCGTTGCGAAGGACGTGAGGGTGTTCGGACTTTGTCTGTGCTGGGCTTCGAGAAACTCAAGACTGCTCAATTCTAAAAGTTCGAGTTCACCCGAGTACCGCTAAGCGTCGCTAGACCTGTCCAATTGAACATGAGTAGACTCAGTAGGTTGTGAATGCCGTGAGGGTATCCGGACGTTATGCGAAGGAACTGAGTGAGATCCGACTAATAGCAAGGTGCTACTGACCGGATCAACAAATGCAACTTGATTCAGCATCGTCTCTGCATGGAGATAGCAAATTCCCTCTTCGGTTCGGAAACGAGGGTCCCTTGGTGAGTGGATGTAGTAGGGTGAGTTCATGATGCGTACCCTGTTATCAGTCGGTTCTTTTGAAGGGCTGCTCAAGTTTTCATTCAGTTCGCCAAAAGTTCGAGTTCACGAGGGATCCGAGCACCGCTAAACCTATCCTAAACGGGACTTGTACCTAAACCTTACGGCGCGCAGCGCCAACACTTACTAGTAAGCTTGGTGTAGCAAAGTATCTACATGCAGTCTTAAAGCACATCCCAAACCTCACTATACCTTGTCATTCACGTTCCTAACCCTCAGCAGGCCTAACCCTTAGCATTTCCCCTTTTCCTGACCTTTTCCATAGAGTATATCTGAATCATATGTAGTATGTTTGTGAATATAATCTAATCATCTCTCACTCAAAAATGGAATCAATTGATCATGTATTGCTACTCAACGAGGCTGAGATAAGGGTTGGGTCTGCTGAGGGTTAGAAATGATGAGGTTTAGGAGTCTTGCTGAGGTATGGGATGTGCTCTAAGACTGCATGTAGATACTTTGCTATACCGTGACACCAAGCTTAAGTGTTGGCGCTGCGCGGCGTAAGGTTTAGGTACAAGTCCCGTTTAGGATAGGTTTAGCGGTGCTCGGATCCCTCGTGAACTCGAACTTTTGGCGAACTGAATGAATAATTGAGCAGCCCTTCAAAAGAACCGACTGATAACAGGGTACGCATCATGAACTCACCCTACTACACCCACTCACCAAGGGACCCTCGTTTCCGAACCGAAGAGGGAATTTGCTATCTCCATGCAGAGACGATGCTGAATCAAGTTGCATTTGTTGATCCGGTCAGTAGCACCTTGTTATCAGTTGGATCTCACTCAGTTCCTTCGAATAACGACCGGATACCCTCACGACATTCACAACCTACATCGGACGCCCGTGCAAGACTGGCGATCGTGCGTATGTACGGGCCGCCTGTCCATGGAAAGTATTTGGAGATGAGTACATACAAAGAATGCATTTCAATGAAGCTATTTTTGCCCACGTTGCACTCATACCAGACTATCATTGCATGCTATTATCCGTTGTCAGTGGAGCTTCATAATATAGAGCTCGAGCTGTCGTTCATCCCCGAACTAGGGTTTCTCACGTCCGAGTCCGATGTACCGGGTCTACTCATGTTCGCTTCAATTAAATTTCAATGTACAGACCAACTGATTTTGATTAGTTGGGACCGGCCCAGCTGGTGACCGATATTTATTACTCCTGTCCTTCCAATGTGATAAATACGAGATATTGTCCCATCCGATCCGAGTCAATCTGCTCCACATCCCCGTTCTTGAGTTGCTCATCCTCTGCTAGCAGTAGACCATGTTGACAATCACCGACGTTACCTGGCTGAACTTACTATGCCTTACCGGTGTTGGAGTCTATCTGGTAAAGCAGGTGCTCATCAAGAAGAATCCCAAACCATATCCACCTGGTCCCCGTGGGTGGCCTCTCATTGGCAATGTTTTAGATATGCCTCGCGTCAAGCGACTCAAGCTCTGGCTCACATTTACTGAGTGGGGTCAGAAGTACGGTGAGTGCCTCCCTTTTTCCAAAATCATCCATTTTCAAAAGTCTCTCCTGCAGGTGGTATCACGCATGTCGAGGTTCTAGGTCGGCACATCATTGTGCTGAACTCTGTCAAGACTGCAATGGAAATGATGGACAGAAAAAGCATCTCGTACTCTGACCGTCCTGTTCTTCCCATGGTTGGTGAACTTGTTGGTTGGAAGACCTCTTTACCTTTCCTCTCATATGGTGACCGTCTTCGCCGGCAACGCAAGGACATACAGCGCGTCATCGGCAGTCGCGCCGCAGTGGGCGTATACAACGAGATCGAGGAGGTTGAGACACTTCGATTTCTGAAGCGTGTGCTTGCGAAACCCGATCGACTGCAGGAGCATGTCCGACAGTATGTATTATTTATCCTTGCGACGACGTTATCTTGAATTTTCACTATAGCACTGCTGGCGCTGTCATTCTGCGCATCTCTCATGGTTATGAAGTAAAAGAGAATGATGATCCCTTCGTTGACCTTGCAGACCGCACTGTATCCCAGGTCTCGCATGGTCAGCTCGGTAATTTTATGGTTGATATTTTACCATTCTGTGAGCTATATTATTCTGACGTTTGGATTGGCTTCCGATGATCTGAAAATTTTAGTGGCAAAGGTCCCCGCGTGGTTCCCCGGTGCTGGCTTCAAGCGCATAGCACGTGAATGGAGCGGGACCCTCAAAGAGATGGTTTCTACACCCCACGAGTTCGTCAAGGACCAGATGGTGAATAATCTGCAGTTTTGTGATCATACATTGAAGCTCACATTTTACAGGTTGCTGGCATCGCCCCCACGTCTTTTACCTCGAATCTCTTAGAACGCAGTAATATATCTGCGGAAGAGGACGACATTGTGAAATGGTCTGCTTTTGCCCTATACGCTGGTGGTTCCGACACGGTTGGTCCCTACATATTTCTAATCATCATCTTCTGAAAGTATTGCGCCTATTTTCTCAGACTGTTTCTGCAATATACTCGCTTTTTCTAGCTATGACACTTTTCCCTGATGTGCAGAAGAAAGCTCAGGCTGAAATAGATGCGGTCGTCGGTCCTGATCGTCTTCCCTCCTTCGCCGACCGCGAGTACCTCCCCTATACTGAGGCGCTTGTCAAAGAAGTCCTGCGTTGGAGCGTTATCGTTCCCACCGGTATGTGGATCTTGTTCATGACACTATTTATTCGCGAACGGGTATCTCAATGACAGGTGCACCCCACTGTGTGAACAAGGACGATATCCATGACGGGTACTATATTCCAAAAGGCTCCATAATAATGCCTAACATTTGGTTGGTGCTCCCCTTCGGTTGGTGGATAGAATGTAATGCTCTTGATCGCGACAGGTTCATGCTCAACGATCCACAAACATATGCTAACCCCTCGCAATTCAATCCTGAACGCTTCTTGGCTAAGGATGGAAAGGAACCTGAGACGGAGCCTCGCACGATTTGCTTTGGCTTTGGTAGACGGTGAGCATAAATTTGGTTCTGAATCTGATCGGAATGCTAATTTTCTGCTCCGCAGTATATGCCCAGGTGTGTCCAACTCGCATCAATTAACTAACAGTATTCTGACATTTGCTTGATTTTGATGTACAGGTATCCACCTTGCTGAAGCCTCCATTTGGATATCCGCTGCTATGTCACTGGCCGTGTTTGATATTTCGAAGGTTATCGAGAATGGTGTCGAGATCACCCCCGAGGTTGAAACCTTACCAGGTGTGATCGGGTATGTCGCATATCTTGTCACGTCTGGCGCTAGTCTCGATTAACACACTCTAAGGCACCCCAAACCCTTCAAGTGTTCTATTAAGCCTCGCTCTGCAACTGCCCTCGGGCTTATTGAACAAGATGCTAACTGATAAGCTCATGATGGCGAAACTGGAAAAACACGCAGGGATAATACTCAGCATGTGTCGTAATTTGCGTGTTACACTCAGGAGTTATTCTTGGAGTTTGCACAGGGAATCATTTGTTTCTGTAGAACTTTTATAGACATGTCTGACATGATGTTAACGAGACCATGTACTCACTTTGAAAATTTGTCCCATTGATGACGAACATTAAACATTCCAAACAGATGTCGTTAGAAGTCAAAGCGGGACAAAAGTTAATTTGTCGCTCAGGTAATGAACGCTAGACTGGTGACCAGCCCAAGCAAGACGTCGATAGACGCTTGTCACCTGCAGTCTAAATGAACACATCGATCCAGCTGCTCTGCAAGGTAATGCTTTTTCGCATGGATCCCCAATCGATATCTAGTAATGCAACATCTTATAGACGTTGCTTTCACTATGACACTTGCAATGGTTCGCCTGGCTCGAGCGTTATCTTTGTAGGTAACCGGTAACCGGTCGGTAATCATTACATAATCATTGCGGATCGGAAACACTTGGTCGTTCTTTTTTATCTCTAGCACAAGTTAACTGTAAGATTATATAATACTTGCGGACCAAATCACTAACATTGACATCACCGTATAGTGTCTTTTATCTTCGAAGATCGCAGTCTCGCTCTCAGTATCTGTCCGTATCGAACTTCATGAACCTCCATCCGTTAATTTTCCCTAAGATCCATTCAAAAAAAAGAGGCCTCTCAGCAAACACTGCTACTCAGTGCTGACCGTTCACAATTGGTAAATTGTTGATAGTCTAGGTTTCGAAGTCTCCTCCTGATCTAAGAAGACATTCGTTCCTTCCATATTAACGGTGAATTACTTGCCTGCCGAGGGTTCTCAACCAGTCACAGTCTCTAGGACTTTGATGCCTCTAGCTTCGCGCCCGGAAATCGATGGTCCCAGCGCGCCGCTCGACTTCGCCGCAGTCCTAGTGTTGGCAGTGGCTAGTCAGCCATAATCCCACAGCAACCGTCGAATCCTGGCAACGTGCTCGCCCCGCCGCCGCTTGTCGTGCCTAATCTGGTGGTCACTCCTGCTCATTCTGACCAAACCTCATCCAAAGGACCCTCAAATTTTCACCTGAATGCGAGTTCGACACACTTAGTGCAGGGCACGCGGCGGACGACCTTCTTATCGAACATTATGATCGCTTCATCATCAATTTACCGATTTTTTTTTTTCAATTTTTGTCTGCCAGCCGTAAACATATCTACCCGAGCATAACGCATCGTGATTCGTGAGCGGCTGATACTGTCTGCCTATTTAGGTAGGTATCACTGATGCGGCGGTGTGGACCCTGTCGAAGCTTGCTCCACGTCTACATACTAGAACTCTGTTGTTTCCGTAATATCAACTCGCCGAGAGATCCGCAGTACCGTACCTGGCGCAATTGGTTGATTAATCTCCAGCGCTATTGGGCACAAGACGTATATAAATGGTGGGTCTGAGAAGCCTTGTTAATCCAGTGGACACTGACTCAGTACGTACTCAGTGTTGCAACGCGCCCAACTCATATACGTAAGGACCCTCGGCACGCAACGTTGTTCTCGTGAACACGCACACCAATCTGCAAGTCATGTCTACTCAAGGAGACCTCGAACGAGCAGACCCCGGGCCCAATTTTGGTATGAATTTGATCACATTTTGTTCATCCGGTAGAAATCTTGATAAATGCATAGATGGTCAACGTGATGAACAAGTCGGAAAGACTCAAAAGGATGCAAAAAAAATTACGAAAGAAGAATCGGCGCTTGTGGCAGCATGGATGCATCGAATCCAGACGCTCACTCTTATAGTAAGCCATTGTTCAGTGACTCTGGTTACATGAATCTTGAACGACCCGTCAGACAACATTTCTTACTTCCATCGACGGAGAGCTCTTCACCCTTACCTCCACATCGTCGCAGGTGACACTCAATGCAAGTGAGGAATCTGTGGAACTCGTATACGCATGTTTTACTGGTGCCCTCGTTTTCCATGGCTGTTCTTGTGAGTACCGAGATGGTTGGGGAAGCGTGAGGCACTTACAGCTTGCGTTAGCAATTCTGGGATATGTGGCATCTTTTGCTCTCATTCGATACCAGATCGTTGATGCAGAAACTCATCTGGAAACCGATGAGCTGGAAAAACGTTCTAAAACTGGTTTACATCACCACGAAAGCATTCACGGAAAACAACTCTTGCTTAGAGGCATCCCTCCTTTGTATGCTGTGCAGTCCCTTCTTCAGATGCCCTCGAGGCTCCGGATTCAATCCAGGACGTCCTGTCCCCCGCTGGATCTCCTGACTCGGTGCTATTATACGATTTTGGGGCTAAGTGGTGCCGGCTTTATCTTGGCACTTCTTGGTATCGCCACTTACGCATGGGTTGGACTGCAGCGGGTTGTTGGGATATTCACAATGGCTTGTCTAGGCGTTAGTTTGTTGTTATGTGTGTGTGTGGTGGTGTACTGAACCTGCTTTGACTACGTATGGACCATGCCCTTGACGACTTGCATGATTTCGATTACATTCCACAGAGTCTCACCCATGTTGTTAACAACAGCACGACTTATTCACAACTTATTTGAAGCTGTACATACACTAAATAGTTCGAGTGTTGTATTCAAGATTCACTGGTAAGTGTCCTTCAGCATCGCAAGCGGGAAGTCAGCTCAAACGTTCAGGGACAAAGTGTAAGCGCTTAAGCATCTACTGGTCACCTATGCACGTTGCAAGCGCACTTGACATATTAAATGAGAATGCTCGAACGGGATTGCCCGATATTATTGATATCTTCTTCATATACCTAGAGGCCCGGCGAGTGAAGGTACCGATCTAGGCGCCTCCCCTCGTGACGTCAACAGGCGCCAAACCGAGTTCGAGTTTCCGAGCTTAGTTAAGGCGCGTCTAATAATTTGCGAAGCTCCTTCAAGTTTCACAAGTCTATCTCGAGCTCCTCCTCGACCATAATCAATTCGCCACACAGTACTAGTATACTTATGCTCAGAAAACTCACGCTATCTACTATAACATTCTTCTTGTACTATGACACCTGTCGTTCAAACCACAAATATTCAACATAGCATATGTAGTGATGATCAATCATGCCGCATCATGCATCAGATGGTATCAAACGCAAGCTCAGGTTGAGCTCAGGCTTGCTAAATTTGCACTACAGCCCGATGATCTCTTGTTCTATTTTAAATCGACGAAGAGGCCTTTTACGGCAAGTGTTGTTTTTCTCAGTTTGCTCTCGACTCTTTCACTTTACCGCAATCGTATCTCTTCCAAGTTCTCATCCCGAGGCTGATTTAGATTTCCCTGTTGATAGTCCCGGCCACCTCTGGGAAATACACATGGATGACAATCTGCCATAGAAGTACAAGGCATGGTACAAAATTTACCATAGGGACCAGCAGTGGCCCATGTGTAAGTTATTCGTGTATGCTGAAAGGAAGGTCCAGATCGAATTGCGGTGCCAGCCACATGTCGCCCAAGCTCTAAGCTCAGGTCCCGGGAAGATATTGCGAAACGCCTTGTCTCCTCGACCCTATCCGTATCACAGATACAAAGATAAAAGGTCTTATAAAGACCTCTTTTAAGTGTAGGCAATTTCTTTATATTGTAAGTGCGATTAAACTATCGCATAACTGATACCATCTTTCACTCGCACATATTATCACTGTGCGCCGCTCTCTTGTTTTGTGCATTCTGTGGCTCGGAATTCTCCAACAACCTCCCGGTACATTCATTTTTTCAGACGCAGGCATCCAAGCTCCCTAAATAAACATGGCATCCAAATTCATCTCATTCCCGGTCTTCGCCATCTTTCTGTTTGCTTGCTGTTCGTATTTGAATTATTGTCCGCACCAATTCCATTTGATTCAAGCTTCGTTCAGTATCCCTTCTTGCGTGTGCAAGTCCCATCCCCATCGTTCTTCCACCCAGTGAGGGCATCACTCTTTTCAAGGATGTTGTTGCGGTAAGCCATTTTTTTCATGTTTTATAAGCTCTTGAACGAGAAGACGTGCAGCGCGAGGCTTTGCTCGAGGTTAATGTATTAAGACGCGAAGCTGCTCCACTTTTGGAGTTGAATGAAGCCACCGATGTCTTGGCGCGAGACGAAGACGCAGGACTCATCGTGGAACCCTCCACACTCGTCGATGATCCCGGCGATGATCTGGAGGCACGCATCTGTCGTTATGGATGCCTTTGAATTTTTTTGGTGGGCGTGTTTGTATATTGCATATGGCTAGCTTCCTAGCTCGTTTCAGTAGTACTAGTAGCATCCTACGCGCTTATGGGTTGTGTATCCATTACATTCTTTCCTTCCAGTACTCTCTGGAAAGGTGGTGTCGTTTCACCGTCCGCTCATTTCTTAGTTTCCTTTTTGTCTTTCCTCTATGTATTTTTGATAGTCTATCCTTTGATTTCGTACTGACGGACTTTCGCTCGATGCGACTGAGAAATGCTACATATTATTATGTATATCTGTCTTCATTACTAGGTTGTATATCGTCGGGCTCAGTGCACTCTGAATATACCAGCTTCTATCATATCGTATCGTGCAAACTCTCCGGTCCGCGCATTAATGGCTCAGTACAATCTGCCAAGACTATTGCCAGCAGCATGCATAAACTCATTTAACCTGTGGAGTACATATTTGATGGTATCTTCAAAAAACGATGTGCCTTCTGTGAGCTACGTTGGTTAATTGATAGTCAACCGCCGCAAGGCGGAGTGTTTCACAACCGCAAGGGTTCTCTCGAGCGCCACCTTGAAGTTATCCCTTTGATCCCAAAAAGGCAGGTGCTGTAGATTAACTGGCGCTGGACCAGGGTCGGACGCAAATTTTGATTTCTCCTCACACCCAACAAGGGGACATCCAAATACGTTGCACCGCCGGTTTAATCAACTTTTCATATCATGGTTCTCGCCGCACGCGTGCCGAGCTGTGCAAGTGCGTGCAAACGCAAGAGATAATTTAAGAACCGACAGAACAAGCTAACATCCTAATTTGGATTGAAGCTACTCCCCAAATGCGGTCGTTAGCTTTTGGACCAACCGCCTTTAGCAGTATTAAAGAGTTGAAACTCACAGATGGCTCACGCAAGGTACTATAAAGACGTTATGGAACGAACTCATGACTCAACAAGCTTTTTGTGCTCTCGACTCTTATTGTTCTGCGCTCAGAATATATCTTCCATCTAGCGCTCTTGATTTGACACTTCGAACCTTCTTCCAAAAGTCAACAAAACAATAAAACCACTTCCCAAAGCACTATGTTTGCCAAGTTCACTTCCGTATACATCGTCGCATGCTTTGCTGCTTTAGGTGGGTTTAATTGTCTCGTCCTGACATGTTTGTCATATTGACGGTTATGACGTGTAGCATTCGCATCGCCTGTACCTGTTGCAGCTCCTGAAGCTGTTGCCCTTGCTAACACAGAGATTCTTGCTGTGAGTCTTTTTGGATTTGACACAAAATGTCAAGTCGCTCATGCCTTATTTTTGTAGCGTAAGGCTATGCCAGTAGCAGAAGCTTTCGCTGAACGCGAGCCAACTCCTGAAGAGGAAGACGTCGAGGCCAGGATCTGCCGCTACGGCTGCCTGTAATCGAATCCCTTTTCCCACATCACTTTTCGCGCTATTGCGATTTATCAGCGCTCTACTGTCCTTTCTGCCGTCGCATGCGTCGTGCGGTCCAGCTCGACGCGGACCACCATTGTCATACCCAGCCACAATTTGTCCTTATCCGATGACCATTCCGGACAATATTTCGGATACCATTTTCTTACGCACGTTATGAGTTTGTTTTGTTAATCGGTGGGGTTCTGTAACTGTATTACTCGTCATAGATGCTGTATCGCTATTGTTTTGCTTTCGTATGTTTTCTCATGCCTATGGAATATCCACATTCAAAAAACAGCTGTCGTGTAAAGTATCTAGGTGCTTACTTCGAGCTACCGCTTACATGGTACCAAATATTATATATGATGGAAAGCCTTGATGGGTGCAGACCACATGACATTTAAGTGAGCGTTGAACATTTGATTTTAAATAATAGCAAGGACACCCGAAGGACACCCCTTCGGTTGGCTCTTCGACGATATACTGTATCTACAGTAGCAACCGGGGAAGTGCGATATTAGCGCAGTCTTGCAATCCTTCGTTCGTCTCTGCAAATAAACACATCGTGTCTCTTCGCGTTCTCACCCCGATCAACAACGCTGTGTACACTGGCAATTGACCGTGAGCAAAGGGTTTCCTTTGAAGGGTTCGTGCTAGCGTCAGACCTTGTCAACCATCAGATATTAATGTAGTTGCGTACGCGGGTCGCGACTCGCAAAGGAAACTGTCTTCGTGACAGAGACTCGGAGATTGCAGGACTCGTTTTCACTCGGTTCTCGCGCTTTCATCATGGACTCATTCCTCCCGACTCGTATTAATTAATGTAACAAATTGTCCTGAATCAATCATGAAATTCTGAATCCGTCCTATGTACTACTTTAGAACCTATTAGTAACCTAGAACCAAGCTCCCAGTCCATGGCCCGGCGTCGAGACTCACGGACCTTCTAGTAACAGAGCCTCGTTCAGGCAACGTGTTGCAACGGTACCCTTCAAGTCCTTCCCGACTTACCTGTTTGACTGTATCATCCGAGTCTTCGATTTCACCAGCTAGCTGCTCGAAATCAACACCGCGATCATGGCACACCCTGCCCTATGGAGAGGAAAAACGTTCTTCTATCCTATTGGCAATACATCTGCAGTTTGCCTCACACAGGATCTTTGTCCATCTGAAAAAGCAGACGTACTGCTTCTTGGGTGCGGTGACCCGAGGCATATCCTTTACACCGTATATACAAACAGCACTGGCTCGCAAGGTACTAAAAGCACGTTCCTAGTAGGAATATTTGATAGAATGGCGCGCTAATATTGTTCCGTGCTCAGCGTCACGAAAACTGGATTTCACTTGTTGCGACCTTGAGAGTGCAGTCATTGGCGAGCCCAGATTTAACACTCGATGCGTCTTTTAAGCTAATTTATCAAACAGCCCGTAATGTTATCTTATTCACGCTTCTTGCCGACGAAGGCGCTGTGCAGAAAGTGCCGCAAATCTGGAACATCTTTTTCCACTTTTATCTCGACAAAGCTTCCCATGACCTGCTCATATCGCAGTGCAGGAAGTTGGTCGAGCTATCCAGCGATCTGGATAGCTGGAACAACAGTCCTTATGGTCATTTCCTTCGTATGTGCACTAGAGATACTCTCGCCGAGCTGCGGCGCCTTTGGCAGCTCTACGTCAAGACGACGACTTTCTCTCCTGGCGAGGCAAAAGCATTTGAATCCGCATATACTGCTGACGTCAAGGCTTCCAAGGCGAAGTTCGAATCCGTGTGTACATCAAGCCGCGCAGCTGGGCCACTGTCAATGTATGCGTTCGAGATGGCGGGCGATCACTACAACATTTACTGGGAGACAGGCATATGCTCTGCCGTCCCTAAGAGACCCTCGGAGGTCTCATATCCAAATTCAACCTTAGCATATTCCATGGTCGGTGATAAATTTGGGGTCCACTATGGAACGGATCCTCTCTCTTGCTTTCATTTGGCGGAAGCGCTTGCGCCAGCTGTCGGAAGCGCTCGCCATCCAGAGCAAGTTACTCTGAAAGACATAGTAAATGTCTGCAAGACGCAGTTTTCCCGGTGGTGCACTTCCGTTTCCATGGTCTTGGGCAGTCAGGGTCCATCTTCTCCGAGCCCGCTCATCATACGCTACTTTGTGGGAGACGCCCTGAGCTTTTGTCAAGCTCTTGGCTACTTCCGAACTACAAAATCAACATCCACGCCATTCCTTGTCGCCCCTTGGAAGAGCGCGTGCATCGCATTTGATCCTGAAGCTTACGGGACTGATACGCAGTCACTTGCGCCAACCACGTTCAACATCATTGATACGTCCAACCTTCTTGATCACGTCGGCGTGTTGAACATCCTCGTTGTTATTTTCCCTATTCTTCAGCGAACTCCATCCGCTACGTTGTACACGGAAGGTCTCGCCGGGAGCAGCCTAGAAGAGACGTTACCACAGCAACTCTGTGGAGATATTGCGACTATTGGGCTACTCCTCGGCTTGATTCCCGTGTGCTTCGTATCACAGTTCACGAACCGGTCGAACATGCATGAGCACATCATGCGTCTGTCGCAAAGTCCAACCCAGAATCACGAGCGCCTTGCCTGGAAGCTGATCGGCGGTGCTGAGAAACTCCTGACTGATCTCGACTGCCCCATCAACATCGCTGCAGAGCAGCTTGCAGGCATTTTCTTCAATATCTATCTCAACATGTTTTCTCACGAAAACATGGCACGAAAGTTGGCCATGGTCCAGCAGTCGCCGGAGTCAAACATGTTGTCTGGGATCATTCATTACCATCGTCGTTCGTTTGTGGAGGTTTTGGGTGTCGTCAAGAGGAGGGTGATCACGGACTGGGATTCGACAATGAACATGCTTCATGGCAAGATTCAGAAAGACAGGACCCTTATAACCGGAATGAACTTTTACCAAGATCTCTGCTGTCAGCTGCACCTCCTCGGTGTTTTCGATGTGGATTGGCTGTCTCTGCAAAAGGTGCGGGAGGTGCATCGTGTCGAAAGGCCCTTTGTCTTCCGCGATTGGAAGACGCTCCCGCAAATCGTCTGTGTCGTCCTCGTCATTCCTCGGGCTCGCCTCCAGCCACTCTTACCGACTCTTGACGAGGCTGGAACACCTGTGTTGCAGTGTGACGTCAGGGGAGTAACAACCTCGAATGCGTTTTCATGCATCAACACAGTTTTCGGAACCGTCAAGATCAGCGGCAAGGGTGATGGAAAAACTGCAGCCATTGAGGAGGACGCCACTAGACGGTACGGAACTTCCCCTCTCGTGGTGTGGTTCTGGGTGCCATACATGGTGTTGTTGGACGACCATCGATTGTCGGTCGTCTTGTCTGTCCTAAGCACCCCAGCGACTTGCATGCTCGCCATGAAGCTGGGGCTTGACCTTTCCTTATTCCGTGCAGACATAGGAGATGAGAAACTTGTGCATATCTTGCGACAGCGTCCTAACGCTGTCCCAGAGAGTCCTGAGGATAAGAGTATGCAGACCAGCGACCGTCCCATGAAGGCGCCTGGCGCCACATTTGTGACGTTAGATAAAGAATGCAAGAAACCTCTGTCATTCACCACACGGGTGGATATCGTCGAACCGAAGATGAAAGCTTCCTTGACCAGCGGTGCTACTCCCACTGTAAACCAAGTTTCCATGCATTCAATCGCCATCGTTCTTGGAGACAAGTCTTTGCAATTCCCTTTCCCGCTTCCTGTCGATGCCAAGAAAGCCAAGCTTCGCATTGCACGAAAGTCACTATACATTGAAGTACGTTTTGTCTGTCGCTCTGCCTCTCTTCAAATCCTCGGTTCTAACTCGGCGCAGGTGACCTTGCCACCGAAACTTGCTCTTGGAGAAACGGACACAGACATGTTCCCTATCATTCCCCAGGGAGGCGATCTTACTCTGTGGAACATGCACCGCGTCAACCTCGACCAATGCGTGCCCTTCAGCATCACCAACAAGAAGGCTCTCGGCTGGATCAACCCTCACCTCTCCTTCATGTTTTCTGAGCGTGAAAGACGCATTCCCCAGGGTTTGATAACAGGATCCACGCTGTTGGATGTCAAGCACACACTTAATTTCATATTTGGGCTCGCAAGTGGTACCGCGGATGGCAAACCCCCTCTATGCTACGCCTTGCAGGAAGAACATGCTATATTTGTTATGATCTACATCACGGATCTCCGCTTGGACCTCGGCTCGCACACCATGGTCGCTGATGCTTGGGTGATGCCGTCTTCTCCCGAGCCTGCGAAGATCAAAGCTTTCGGCAAGGTTTCTCAACATTTGATGGCTGGCACCGATATGAAGCAAACGGGGATAGCTGCTGAGGAGAGAAAAGCATGGATGCACCTCCTTGTGGCCGCAACGGAGCGGTGCCGTACCTGGGAGCACAAGACCAATTGCGAATATCGCGCCAAGGGCGCTATCCCTCTAACTTTGGAGCCAGACTGGAGTCCTATTTGCTCTTGCGGCGCAGGGGTGGGGGCAGAGGCGTTTGTGAAAAAATATCCAATGCTTCGCCCGCTTGCGCCGTATGTGACGAGGGCAGTGATCAGTCCGCTATTCGCGCTGTCATACATGGAAAGAGTCGGTGCTCCGGAAGATGCCATTGCTACGAAGACTCCACTGACGCCTGCGTCGGCAGCGGCGGTGCGTCATGTGTGCGCTGCTTGTGGAAAGGAAGGAAGTGCTCCTGGGTCCTTGTCGATTTGCAGTCGGTGCAAGATTGTGCGATATTGTTCAGCGGATTGTCAGCGCGAGGACTGGAAAGGGCACAAGAAGCGCTGCATAGTCCCATCTTCCTGAAGGGATCATTCATCACGAGTAGATGTTATGTTGATTGTTTTGCTGTATTCATGCTATGTACTAGTGATCTGTACAATATGGACTGGGTCGTGATCAATATGACAATTAAAATTAGAAATCGACTGTTGTCAATAAACTATATTATTCGACCAGATTGTACTGCGCAAACGCGAATTCAAAGAAAATGAAAATCGTGTCGCCAATAGTGAGGTCTAATTATTGTGGTCTCATGTTTCAATAGATATCGTGTTCGATCGCAAATTATCTAATCAGCGTCTCAGATGCTTGATCAGTTGGCCATGTGGTCACAGGGTGTCTTTGGCCTTCTATATCATGATGGATTATCGTCGTCACCTCGTTTTGCTTGATTTTCCTTTGGAGTACTTTAGCAGTTCTGTCAGAGCCATTACTTCACTTTTCCATCCAGTAAACTACCACAAATGATAATATACAGGTAGATGAGCTTCATCCCCGAGACTTTCCCCCCTAAATGATAGATCGCTGCCAAAAATGATCTGCTTTTCGAGTCCTACATACATGACTCTGTGCGAAGGGCTTTAAACCATGCTTCTGCCTAGTACGATTGCTGTACCCGCTAACCCGTAACTATTCGGTCCTCAAAGCGAGCGTGGCATGTGCCATACGTTTGCACTACGTGCGCCCACTATTTCGGCTGTTGCACTCGAATGAATATTGTTCCTTTATTGACACAGATAGGTAGCTCTACGCAGAAAAAAATACAACATTTTTGCATGACAAGTGCCCATTGACGACTCGGAGGTGAACGATGATTCTACTGTTAATAACTACCATGAATCACTCCGCGATGTAGTGAGTGGGTGCAATCATGATGCTGGTATGGGGGTTATCATGATTTGGTGGTCCTGGAGGGGCTGTAGATTATTATACTTTCACGATGATGAGGAGGCCTTGGCGGAAAGGAAAAATCAACGGGTAAAGGAACTCTTCGCGCGGATACGTTCGCCAGCAAAATATATCCACACGGGAAATGGTATACCAATGATGATGGCAAGACTTGCAAGCAGGGAATTTCCCTCACCATAGCCGAGTGCCGCAAACATCTGTTCTCCAAACAGAGGGAATACGAAACCAAGAAATGAACGAAACATCTGATGGTATATTCAGTGCACGCCAACGAAATTAGGAGTAATGTAAGAAAGACTAACAGAAGCGGCTGCAATAGCGCTTGCAGCATAGGTGAATGTATCCACGAGATACAGTTGAATAGGGAGGCTTCATGTCAGAGGTTAGACGTAGAAGAGACTGATGCATGGGAGCACACCCACAAACTTGTCATCAACCCGAACCCAAAGATAGCGGTACAAATGATGGGCATCATGAAGTGGGCCTTGGCTTGGGCAGACCAACCATACCAACTAACATATGTCAGACTGGGAGCAGGAAATCAATGCGTCAATCTCACAATAGTCCCACTGGGACAAAAAACGAGCCGAATATCAGAGCAGGTATGCGCATCTCTGGTTTACCTTTCCCTCCATTTTTTGCAGCAAGCTAGCAACAAGACCCAGCACTTGAGCTGAAAAGTTCAAGATAGAAGGCAAGTCTTGACATACGTATGTGTATATCTTACTGGAAACTCTGGCGCCAAAGAAAGAGGCGGTTAGAAATCCAACGCCTATTCCGGTGTACGTCAGACCTCCAATTCCAGTGCTGAAGTGGTACACCTTTGAATAGAGGTCTGAGCGAGATTTGTTAATAACGATCCCTGTAGGCAAGTATAATCTTACTGGGGAAAGTAGCAAACATCAAGTAGTAGATACCTGGTATATGCTCTCAGTCCATGTCTAATATAACTTAACGTGGCACTGACCATATATCCTAAATATATGAGCATCAGTGAGCCGCGTGCACATGTCACTAGACTTAAACTCACAAAGACATATACAAGCTCAGCATGAAGAGTATAAAACTCCGGGTCAACAGCATGACAGGCCGCTTGAGGTTGAGCCATAAGTAAGCCCATTTCCCCATCTCGTGTTGGAGGGCAGGATGTCCCGCAGTCGCCTTTTCGGAATCCAGCGCCATGTTGTTAAGACGAAGCCTGATGACTGGCGCATATGTTTCTCTCAAGAGAGGGATGCCGATCACTGCGGCAACGCCAGAGATCGCGATAATGACATAGAAGACATATTGTACACCGACTGATTCTGCGATGAAACCTCCCATAACAGGACCGATAGTAGGACCTTGCAGTATGCGTGAACCCCAGTTGACGTCGCACAATATAAAACAGTGTATAACACACCTATCAAGGGCCCGATGCTATATAGTGCCATAGCCGATGCTCGATCACGTTCCGCGAAGAGGTCGCTCATGACACCTCCGCCGCATGCCATAGGTGCACTCCTCGCTAATCCAGCTTTGCAAGGAGTGAAGAAAAGTTGCAGCTCCAGATGTTCTGAGACGTACCTAGAAACCGGAAAACAATGAAGGATACAGTGGTGCGTGACAAAGCGCAGCCGAGATTAAAGGTGAAAAAGAAGAGGTTCGCTAGGTGGAGTACCTTGAAGTCATTCAGGTAAATGGACCCGGCGATGAAACTTAGGACTTAGGATGCATATGACGCACCCATACACGACCATACATTTCCGACAATGGTGCCGCAAATAAAGGACCAATGGCAAAGGATAGAAGGAATATACTTAGAGTCAACGCTATGACTGTTGAATCGGTTATACTGAATTTGATGGCTACGTCAAGTAAACTAGGTGCCATGATAGAACTTGCTAGTGGAGTGACAAACGCGTACAGCGAGACCTAATACTGACATGAGCCATCGTAAATTGAACTCGGTAATGGAAAAACCGACAAGCGTAGCCATTGTCCATTTTTTTGGTGGAGACCAATTCCTGGGGTTCGCAGGATCGTGTTCCCAACCATACTCTTCGTCATGAGTCTTATTCTCGACCTCGGCAGACTGGCCTTCGCTCTCATGACCTGGGGAAGATAAAGAACATTCGAATCATCTTGGTGGCTCGGAGTAAAAGAAACGGTTCCTGAAGGAGAGCCTGACATCATGGACCAGTGTTGCACTGGCAAGCAGGGAAGGCGACCGAGGACTCCGGTAGAAGGTGATAAGACATGTCTTTAAATATATAGCAGACGATAACCTGACTGAGCAGGTATTCGCTTTATCCCTGGAGGCCACTGAACACTTACGTTGCAATGTTTGAATTGCTGAGAGGTCTAACAGTGTCTAGTATGACGGATACAAGTATCCACTTCGTTTCCTGATATGGAATTTCGATTTCGATTTCGACTTTCACTTTCGGCTTTCGACGTTCGGCTTCGGCTTTCGACTTTCGACTTCTTTGCTTTGGGTTTTGGGCATCGGGCATCGGGCATTGGGTTTGCATGCGATCACGTCAGCGTGTCTTGTGAGTGCATCGCTGCGTGGTAGGCTAGCCAAATGATAACTCGTTCATGCCATCTGTACCATGCAGTGACAAACCTGCCACTAGGAGACAGGTTTTTTTTTTCCTTATCGGAACACACTTCGACATTTACTCATGTAAGCCGTTCAAATTGAATTTAAATAAATGTTTTCCTGACTTTGATTTTGCCCGCAGTGTTAGAGTTTGGGTTTGTTTGGTTGACCTTTGGACGTTGACGTTGATCGATTGGGTTCAACTTGGCAGGGTTATGTTTTAAAATTTTACCTTTTGCCTCCTTTTTGCGTCGTCCGCTCTTCGTGAATGGCGACGACGTGCGTGTGTTCCGTCCTACTTCCTTTTAAATATGTGCATGTCTATCCCATGTTATCAGATAAATTTCACCTTGCCAAGGTAGGGCGTACAAGTCGATGGACGATTATTGGACGATTAGTAGATTCTTCCCCTCTACCCAATATGATTAACGCCTCGAGGCTTGTACTAATAATGGCCTATTATTTTATATAAATGATGTGGGCTCTAGGGCCCTTCTCATCATCTTGCTTCGCTTCAACTGCTATTCACAATGAGAAAAGGCAACTCATCGACTCGGAGCCGCAGCAACTCCCCAGCTAGTGGAAGCTCGGTACGTGACTGATGAGGGTCACTCAGTCCACTCCATTTCAAACACTAACACATCATTTGTCCAGCACCGACCCCGTGGAAGAATCGGTCGGTTTCTGAAGAAGCTCAAGGACGGTGCGAAGAAGTTAAGGATCTCGGTGAGTTCACGAGCATGTACAATGAATGTCCTAGAATACGACTAAGATTGCTATAAGCGCTCGAAGGATTCCCGTACCCACAGCCCTGTTCTCCCGAATGTCAATCATGAACGTGCTTCATCGACCCCGAATCTCGAGGTAAGTTCTCATACTTTTCTTCCAGTCTCTGTGCTCTCTCTAATTTCTGGTGGTCGCGCAGGTTCAGGCGGCTCCGTCTGGTGTGCAAGTGAAGGCTGATACTACCCAATCGGCACTTCAGGATGCACAACAGACCGCAAAACGCATGCATCCACTTTCTGGAGCTGTGACATCCGTGGTTTCTATCGTTCAAGACACCCCGGAAGATCTCGATGCTGCCGACAGTTTCCAGGACACATATCTCAAACCCCTCAGGAGATTCGACGCTGTTATCGGAAAGATTGCGGATGTATGCAGGCCCTCCTCTCGATCAGAACCGAACTAATCTAGTTCTACAGGTACATCCATATGCAAAGATGGCACTGGGCGTGTTGTCTTTTGCAGCCAAAGTATGTTTTCTCTCTATCTCTTCCTGTCTCCCACCGCTCAGCAATCATTTGTACAGATCATTCTAGCTCAAACGGATCGCGACGCAGCGGTATTCAAACTTCTCAAGAAGATATGTGATGTTTACCGCTTCATAACACAAGACGACATACTTGGCCAGCTTTCGTCGATGCGCATTATCCTTGGCCAGATTTCTCAGCAGACTCGTGAATGTGCCCATTTTATCAAAAATTATTCGGAGATCAGCAACTTTTGTGAGTGTTACAAGCTGTTGCGCTCTGTACCGTCTCGAGCTTCTACTATCATCACAGGGAAGAGGCTTGGAAAGGAAGTTCTCTCAGAAACGGACGATACGATCAAAAAGTACAATGACGTGTTTGACGGGCTCATGCAAAACTTCCGGGACCAGGTTACTCGCGACGTAGCCATAGGCGTCCACAACATAGCCATACACGTCCATCGTATGGGTAAGGGTTCGGACGTCCTTGTGACTTCACATATATTCATACCTTTTCAGAAGAAACACTGGACCTCAGCGGCATGACTTATGCGGATCGCGCGGGGCTAGATACCAGAAAAGAATGCCTTCAAGGGACGCGCACAGACATCCTGTCCCAGATTACGGAATGGGTCAACAGCACTGGGGACAACGTTTCACGCGTGCTGTGGCTATCTGGCCCTGCAGGCAAGGGCAAATCGGCCATCGCCCACACCATTGCTAAGTGGTTCAAAGACGTGGGAGGGCTTGGCTCGTGTTACTGTTTTGACCGAGGAGTAGATGGTCGCCACGAAAAGATCTTTGCCACGATTGCGCGCGACCTGGCTGACCGTGATCCGGAGATGAGGCGGGCATTAGCAGATGCAGTTAAGACCGCGAATTCGCTCAAGAATACAGCGGATATCATCCAACAGTGGCAGAACCTTCTTGTCGAACCACTGGGGAAGTCATCTGGGTCAATTGTGGGACCCATCGTGATCGTGATCGATGCACTGGACGAGAGCGGCGGAGTAAAGACACGAATGGACCTCCTCCGTATTCTGGCTGGCAAACATCCAAACCCTGAGGTTCCAAAAATCACAGACCTTCCTGGCAACTTCCGCTTCATCGTTACCTCTCGTCCGCTTGATGATATTGAAGACAAGTTTCGTGGTGTTCAGCATATTCGACAAATGTCGATGGATGGCATTCCACCAGAATTTGCAAAGCGCGATATCCGTGCTTACGTATCCAAGGAGTTGGAAGGGCTAGATTTCCAGGACAGAGAGTTCGCAGTCCTCGCTGAGAAAGCTGATGGACTTTTCGAGTGGGCGCGTCTCGCCTGCGGATACATCAAAGAGTCCCATGTGGGGCTATCTCCAAAAGATTGCTACGAGACTGTGGTTTCACGCGATCCTGCTGAGAGAACCCCGCTGTTGTACGACATGTATGGCCTCATTTTAACAGATATCATGCACGGGAATACATCTTTGTATACGCCGAATCAGCGTTTGACAAAGCTAGCGAGATTTCGCTCTGTGATGGGACAAATACTAGGCGCAGCTGAACCCCTTCCTTTAGCTTCCCTGAACGCCATGAGGCACCATTTTCCAATGCGAGAGGACCATTTCGACGTGGAGCTTGTGATAAAAAGCATGGGCTCCCTCCTCAGCGGCACCACCAACACAGGTTCTCCAATCCGACCCCTTCACGCATCCTTCCATGATTTCTTGACGGACAAAGCATCCAGTAAAGAATTTTTCATCGACCTGTCAAAGGCGCAACGCGACCTTGCATTCGCTTCACTTCGAGTGATGGAACAAGGTCTTCACTTCAATATCTGTGCTTTAAAGTCGTCGTATCTACCTAATAGCGAAGATCCTGGGCTACAAGAACGAATTCAAAAATGCATCTCCCCACATCTGTCATACTCATCTCGTTTTTGGACGTCGCACGTACGATCAACAGCCTTCGACAAGGAACTCGCGAGAGAAGTGAAGTTGTTATTCGACCATGAGCGGGTGTTTTTCTGGCTGGAGTTACTTGCCCTGACCAATGCGCTCAGCGGTGCAGTTGGTGCCCTTCCGCCCATTGCCCAGTGGCTGAAGGTGAGCACATTGCTACTAGGTGTCAGATAAAGCGCTCATGCGCAACCACAGGGCCATTCCGAATTCGAAGATGTCTCGTCGACTGCAATGGACGTACAGAGGTTTATCCAAGTCTTCGGCGGCATAATTTTACACAGCACACCACATCTGTATATATCAGCACTCTCATTCACGCCTGCCAACTCTCCGCTATCGAGAAAGTTTTCTGCACGGTTTCCGAATACTTTTCGTGTAGCATCTGGACGTGCTATAAACTGGCCGGCTGTTCAGACCGTGCTCAGGGGGCACACTTCTGAAGTTAACTCGGTCTCGTTCTCGCCGGACGGCACTCGCATCGTCACTGGTTCTTTGGACAAAACTGTTCGGCTGTGGGATGCAGGGACGGGGGAGTCGGTCGGTCAGCCCTTGCGGGGGCACACTGATTCAGTTAACTCGGTCTCGTTCTCGCCGGACGGCACTCGCATCGTCACTGGTTCTTGGGATAACACTGTTCGGCTGTGGGATGTAGCGACGGGGGAGCAAGTCGGTGAGCCCTTGCGGGGGCACACTGAATTAGTTAACTCGGTCTCGTTCTCACCGGACGGCACTCGCATCATCACTGGTTCAAGGGATAACACTGTTCGGCTGTGGCATGCAGGGACAGGGGAGCAAGTCGGTGAGCCCTTGCGGGGGCACACTTCTTCAGTTTCGTCGGTCTCGTTCTCGCCGGACGGCACTCGCATCGTCACTGGTTCGGAGGATAAGACTGTTCGGCTGTGGGATGCAGGGACGGGGGAGCCAGTCGGGGAGCCCTTGCGGGGCCACACTGATTCAGTTAACTCGGTCTCGTTCTCGCCAGATGGCACTCGCATCGTCACTGGTTCAAGGGATAACACTATTCGGCTGTGGGATGCAGGGACGGGGGAGCAAGTCGGCGAACCCTTGCGGGGGCACACTTCTTCAGTTTCGTCGGTCTCGTTCTCGCCGGACGGCACTCGCATCGCCACTAGTTCTTATGATAAGACTGTTCGGCTGTGGGATGCAGGGATGGGAGAGCAAGTCGGTGAGCCCTTGCGGGGGCACACTTCTTCAGTTTCGTCGGTCTCGTTCTCGCCGGACGGCACTCGCATCGTCACTGGTTCTTGGGATCACACTGTTCGGCTGTGGGATGCAGGGACGGGGGAGCAAGTCGACGAGTCCTTGCGGGGGCACACATCTGAAGTTTACTCGGTCTCGTTCTCGCCGGACGGCACTCGCATCGTCACTGGTTCTTTGGACAAAACTGTTCGGCTGTGGGATGCAGGGACGGGGGAGCCAGTCGGTGAGCCCTTGCGGGGGCACGCTTCTTCAGTTTTGTCGGTCTCGTTCTCGCCGGACGGCACTCGCATCGTCACTGGTTCGGAGGATAAGACTGTTCGGCTGTGGGACGCAAGGACGGGGGAGCCAGTCGGGGAGCCCTTGCGGGGCCACACTGATTCAGTTAACTCGGTCTCGTTCTCGCCGGACGGCACTCGCATCGTCACTGGTTCTTTGGACAACACTGTTCGGCTGTGGGATGTAGGGACGGAGGAGCAAGTCGGCGAGCCCTTGCGGGGCCACACTTCTTCAGTTTTGTCGGTCTCGTTCTCGCCGGACGGCACTCGCATCGCCACTAGTTCTTATGATAAGACTGTTCGGCTGTGGGCATGCAGGGACGGGGGAGAAAGTCGGTAAGCCCTTGCGGCACGCTTCTTCAGTTAACTCGGTCTCGTTCTCACCGGACGGCTCTCGCATCGTTACTGGTTCGGACGATAAGACTGTTCGGCTGTGGGATGCAGGGACGAGGGAGCCAGTCGGTGAGCCCTTACGGGGGCACACTGACTTAGTTAACTCGGTCTCGTTCTCGCCGGACGGCACTCGCATTGTCACTGGTTCAAGGGATAAGACTGTTCGGCTGTGGGATGCAGGGACGGGGGAGTCAGTCGGTGAGCCCTTGTGGGGGCACACTGGTTTAGTTAGGTCGGTCTCGTTCTCGCCGGATGGCACTCGCATCGTCACTGGTTCTTGGGATAACACTGTTCGGCTGTGGCATGCAGTGATGGGGCAGCCATCGCAACAGTGCGCTGAGTCAAATCATCCAGCATTCTCAGATGAACATCGCACGATCAAGGCCACCACTACCATGACATTGAACACTCTGAACAATCACTCCATTCGCTTCTCGTCCAACTCTATCCATGCGCTTTACGACACTTCTGAGTTAATGGAGGGGGCATCTCATGACGACCGCAGTTCGACCCCCTGTGTCCTGGATGATGGTAGTGGATGGGTGATAGGACCCGAACATCGACTGTTATTTTGGGTACCACCCGCTTCCAGAAACTCACTTTGGAGCCCTGGGACTGCATTAGTGATACCCAGGGGTGCTGAGCTTGATTTGAGCCGCATGGCACATGGACAACACTGGCAAAAGTGCCGAGAGGAGTGAGTCTCTTCGAAGCCCTTTCTGTTCCCCGCGCTTACTGAAATCAACACTTGCAGACCTTAGCACCAACGATGATCGTAGCAATGTATCCATTATGATGATTTCATGCTGTGTTGTTCTCCTCTTAACGTTCATGTTCTGTTTTTTACGGCCCTTTGCTCAGTACTACGGTGTTACGCTCGGTAAAAGCCATCTTCGGATATTGGTCTCCATCAGCAATATCCTTGTTGGCACGCACTTAGTTCTACCCCATTCTCTCAGTTTCTCTTTGATTACATCAGATTCGTGGTTCTCCAGCATTTAAACTCGCGTTGATCTACTGTAGAAGTAGTTGATCTTTCCCTGACTGAATACAGTTTAGTTATCTCGTATATAATTAGTCCAGATGGATCTATAATCGACTCGCTACTCAAGCACTCTCGCCAGTTGAACAACATACGTGAATTAACAACACCCGAGTCACAAGGTCCCTATAGAGTCTGTCTATCGTGATATAATAAGCAGTATATAAAAGTGGAATAAGTGTGGTCAGTAGTCGTCTAGCACCGCTGAGGGTACTTCATGGTTGTAACCTAAAATACCACGAGAAAGTGACAAATCCCGACCATTCTGCAGTTCGTTGACGGAGGGCGCTAGCTTGGCTGTGATGAACCTTCCGGGCCAGAATGGAACATAGATCACGATAACCACAAAAAGGGGAAGCGTATCACCCACGTAGAAGGCTGTCTCGCTTGAGCCTTGAGGTGAGGGCGCCGTGAAAGCCCTGAGCGACCTCCGCAACACGGTAGCATGAACGAATCTGCAAAAGCGTTTGTTAAAGGAGACAAGGTTGCCGCATGAAAGACAAACCAGAATGCCGATGCAGCTGATCGCCGCGGCGGCGGCGAGTGTTCGTCAGTCACCGTTCCATTGTTGCTTTGAGTCTTGCATCCAAATGGCCGGCTCTTCAGCGTGGACCTTGTAGAGGAATCGTGCGTAAATGACACAAAATGAACCGACAGAAGCCAGTTGAAAAACGAGGCCGGCCAAAAAAACCTGATAGAGGTGATTAGCGCTCACTCAGATTGGGACAAACGCGGGTACATAAACATACATGAAATCCTGTCAAAGCAGAACTGTAAACGGTGGACGTAGTTATTGAAGCTCCTGCCGCCTGTGGCAAAACATCAGCAGAGAAGCTCTTTGAAAAAAAGAAGTCGATAGTCACTTGAATGACAAGGTAGTCACGTCAGACAAGACGAAAATGAGGGTGAGCCGTCTCACTGGAATCAAGACCCGATGGACGCAGTCGATTTCCCTGGCAAGACGACCGAGGAGAACGTAATTCGTGGCAATGAAGAAACAGGGCTTTATAAAATATAAACAAACCACCAATATTGTTGCAGTTTGACGCTGACTCACAGACAGTACGATCATCAAGTATTCGGCGATGTAAATCCCCAGTGAATCAGGATTATAATGCAAGGCGAAGCGAAACTCAAAACCTATAACATAAACTACAGCCAAACATCAGGAAGAACCAACACAAGTGTGAGATTGAGACGTGCTGTATTCCCCGAGGACCATGGGCAACATCCACTTCTGACCCTTATAGATAATTTGGTAAGTCTGTATGAAAGCGACCAGCAGCACAAGACCTTCGCACAGTAAGTTACGTATGTTCCCTGGCTTACTGGTTACTCACCAAAGGCGATGGCAGTTGGCGTATTGTTAGCAATATAGCCAAGGGCATTACATGGGTCGTTGCGCGGGTCTAGGTAAGGATCAGATGGGCATTGGGTGGAATTGCTGGCCGCCCGAGCAGAAGTGACATAAGTCAAAAGAAGAGTCAAGAAAAACAAAGTGCTGGCTAAGATGGAACGAGCCATGAAGATGATGAAGATGAAGATGAAGATGAAGATGAAGATGATGAACGCCCTCTATGGAAAAGGCCGTGTTTTATGTTGGAGGACGAAAGAGTATCCATCGAAAACTTCGCAGCGCAGCGCTGCGCCAATGTTATCATGTGGATCATGAGGCAGTGAGTTAGGGCAGCCCGAGAACATCGGGTATGCTAGAGCTCATCAGAAGTTTACCGCAGCAAGAATACCAGGAATGTGTATCAAATTAATACCTTCGCTATCATTAAGAATTTATGAACGATGTGTCCGTGATAAGACTGGGGTATTGCCTTTCTCAAGGTCCAGGAGCCCAAAGTGTATACAATTCCGTGTCTGCTGGATCAAAGCAGGTGACCAAGGCTTTGTCCGAGCGAATGATAATTTTACGACTGTTCAGATTGACTGGCAGACTGCGGAGTGTGGGTCGCAGAGGTTCGTCCATGCGGTAGAAACTGCCTCCGGACTCTGATATAGTAGTTGAAGTCGGAGAGTTAGCTGCGTGGTCCTTGACATGCGTGATAAGTAGAAAATTCGGAAGTCTCCCTATGTGCTAACCTCTGTGGAATGCTGTTTGCGACTTGGCAATTCTGGGGTTGCTGCTGGGGCACTGCCCATTCCGGAGTTGTAGTCTAGGGACCAAAATTCAACATAAGAAATTTAATGGATAGCACGCTTTCGACCATGAAGCTTGTATCTAGTACTGTAGACAATTTCAGTATGAATCTTATGCCGGCACCTTTATAGCTTCGATGCGGCAAAACACGGCAAACCCGCTATAAGCTGATAGTGTGTGAGCACTAACTGTTGTAGGAAGTGGCAACACCCAATGATATTTCGGGACCGCGATGGGTTGCGTGGTGCATTCGTTACTGACGGCAGATGAATCTGCCGAAGGTCAGCATAGTGGAACACTATAAATTGCAATGTTGACTAGGATATCTCATGCATAAGACATATCATGTGCTCCACAACAGACGCATTGATTTACTGAACCTCGATGCTCTTCAAGTACTCCAAGCGGAAGGGGTTAGCATCCGTTTGGTTACTGCGGTTATGCGCAATCCACTTGGGCTCATCCTGGAGCACAAAAGCGGTCAGAATACAAAAACAAAAACAGACTAAGAGCAAACCTTGAACAGTCTCATGGTCCTGACGCGGTTGCCCATATCGAGAGAGAAGCGGTGGTAAATACCCGCAGGGAGGACCAAGAGGTCACCGGCACCCATGTGGCAACGAATCCAGGACTCATTGGAGTGCTCTGCATAGCGTAAATTTCATCAAAAGCTCCAGGGTTTAAGTTATTATTACATACCACGAACGTCAAAGAAGCCGGTGCCTTCAAGAAGGTATCGGATTTCTTCATCATCGTGCATGTGCCTGAGGTTATCAGATACATAGTAGTGAGTACACTTCGGACAGACGAAGAAATCAGGTCTTACTCGTGGTAGAAACTCTTGATCTTCGTTTCAAATTCATCACCAAGACCCTCTTTGCTGATAGCGACAACATCGTGGTTCTTGTAATTCCTTTCCTTCGCAATAGCAGCAATCTCCTGCTCATGCTTGCCCTCGGCATCAATGGGAATGTGCCAATGCAAGACGCCAATGGACTTCAAGATCTCATCTGAAACATCCATGCCAGAGTCATGTGGGAGACGTTGGTCACCCTCAAGGTTGTCAAAGTAGTAAGCACGCATATTATGGTTAAGAGGATATCAGACAAGACTCTGAAAGATGCAGGATGGAACTCAGAGTATTCAAACAATCCACGAGGAGAATGACGCCTTTATATGCGGAGCCGTCAGCTGAACCCGTAGGTGTATAATAATAGATCACTTACTCCTAATTTTGTGAGCAGCTAATTTCGGGTGGGGGTGTCCACAAGCTTGTGTGAGCTGTGCAGATAGGCTTGATATGTTTGATGAATCAGCATACGTACCACTTGCAGAATGAATGCATCAAGATCTAGGGTGGAACGGGTGCTCCGTACGTTCCGAACGCATCCGTGTTATAAAAAGTTCTAATTGGCCGCCGTTGAATCAATAAGTGGCACTCGTTTGTGGTGCGGCGGATTTAGGACAGGTTGGTCCCCTCCGATTTCATGCTCGGAGAACCTGAATTTAAATGTTTGCCAGTCACCCCGAGTGGAACATCATCATATCATGATCGATGAATCGATGAAATTCGGAACGAGTGCCATGCATGCCCATCACGTGACATTCGTCGAGCGTTGAAGTTTAAACGCGGTTAACGTTGATTCTTGCCGGATTCCTTCATCGAATTATACCTGAATGGCGACTGCTGGAAGTCCAAACAACGTTGACAGGTATGAAAGCCAAATCATTATGGAAACAATAACGGTTGAATAACCTAATCTCACCTTTTCCTAGGCACTTTGATTTCCTGACTACTCTCCCAGACATTATTCTGAGCCATATTCTCTATCTCGTTTTTGACGATACGAACCAATGTACTACTAACGCGCTCATGATGAACCGGCGTGTTTTTTCATTGGCAAAACCCATATTCTTGTCCACGATCATCTTACGCTCGGAGCTATCAGTCTTACACCTCATACACCGTTGCATTTCCCCGAGTCGGACGACTCTTACAGCTGCCGACAGGGAACACGTCAAGTGCATTGAAGTCAATTTCTTACCATCATCTCAGCAACAGACCCTTGGGGCACCCAGCGTACTCAGTGCTGCCACCCCTTTTCCAAACCTTCACACTCTGAGGTTTCGCTTTGACGTTGGAGTCCCGTTGTTGTCGAGCCTGCCTACTCCAGAACTTCACAAACTTGTTGCAGATACAGCCGCATACACTCGCTGGCTAAGGGTGGATTCGCCATTATTCGATCTCTTATCGAACCTCAAGCCGCAGCGTTTCGAATGGATTCCTGAAGTTTCTTCCGGTCAATCTAAGTTAGGCTCATGTGTAGAGGGAGCCGCAGCATCAGTGGTTCGACCTATTCGTGTTGTTTGTTTCCATGGTGCTTTCCGAGCTCTTATCAAGCGCTGGGACAGTCTTACGCACGTGTATCTGGATGGTATCTACCTGCTTGCTAAACACTACACATCGACATTTTACCTTGCTCTCTTCGCAAAGCACATGCATATCAATGTGGATTCTTATAGGGACACCTTGCATCTATTTTCTTCAGCTCCTCGCGTGCCTTTGGGATCTCGCAAATGCGAGAGTCTGGTGGTCGAGCGTCCTGGAGCGAAAGAAGATCGAACATCTATCTATAATGCCATTCTTAAACATGGAACCTTACTTTCTTTTCGCGGCTTCTCGTCGGCTCAGTGCGCATTGTTCAAGTACACATTTCTTAGCACGGAGGACCAACGATATTTTGGGCCAGTACCACCAGAACAAGTTTTCCGAACCGTCGGGGCCGGGGTCCGCAAGCTACCGGAGTTGAACATTTCTCGGAAAACTCCAACCATGACAGCTGTCACTCGCCCTTCCGCGACCGTCCCGTCTCATGACGAAGCTACTACTGGCCCTCCTACATCCAGGGATTCGAAACCACGCCCTACGCTCGCTTCTGTCATATCGACAACTAACTATTCCACCTATATTATTGGCTTCATTGCTATCCCTATTGCCATTTCCTTCACCATCTTGTATTTCATGTCATTACCCGCTGTCCACTATTTCCAACGACGTCTCAGTGCTGCCTCTGCCACGACTACCTCTGTGACTACCTCTGCGCCTACGGCACCTCGGGACAAACCTCGGTCTCGCGCAGTATCGACCCTTAGATGAGGCCCGAATCCATATTCGAAGGCGGTAACACACTTACCGGATCCGAGTCGTCACAGCAAAGATCCCACAGCATGATCGTTTTGTTTTTCCTCTAGATCTTCCTTGAATATTTCTATCAGTTTTACTGTAAGAATCGATTTGTAAATCTCAGCTGATGTGCCGTTGGGGTTTGATCTGATCGATTGGCGTTGACGTTGAGCGCGAAGTGACGCTACCTCCACCATGGAATGTGTTCTCAGAACCTGACGTATTGCCAAGGACTAGTCCATACAACGAATTGTCTGACCCCATCGATTTCGGACACCCCTGACAGGCCCGCATGCCGGCATCGTAATAAAGCAAATTGGGCGAGGGTGAAGTTCATCCAATTCAACTTTTTATCCATTTCTCAGTAATCACGGATGCAACATATCTTTTCGACAACGACTGCCCCTCGAATCAAACACCATAACGGTTGAGGACGTGGCATCAGAGACGAATGTACATTGGGCAACCGATCTAGGGATCTCAGGCACAAGAAAGAATCGTAACTGCTTCCAGTCACATCAGCGATGGCGAGCCAAAAGTGTATATACGAGGTCATATAAGGTATTCGAGCGCCAGCAGTACTAGTGGGTACCAATGATAAACATATAACAAACATTCGATGGACTCTGTAAGTTAGTAGGCAGCAGCGCTAGATGGGACTCTCTAGAGTCCTTTGGTATCAAAGGTTCGCCTTACCCCGCAAGCAGAGGTTGCCACATGGTAGGATTAGAGCTTTGCGCGAGGTTTCAATTGTCCCACCGCAACATCCGTCTTCGCGCGCTCGCGAAGTTCACGACGAAGGATCTTTCCGGCAGCACTATCATTTCGCCTCATCAGCCAGACGACAGAGTAAGGAATCAGCAGTGTAACCGGACCTCTTCGGAACCTTGTCGATGATGACAACTCCTCCTCTTAGCCGTTTGTGTGGCGCCACACGCTGTGAAACCCAGTTTTGGACACCTAGTGCGAATGAAGACGCTTCCTGGGAGGAAAGCGGGCGAGAAGGCGTTATATATGCGCTGTAGAGTGAGAAGCTGTTGGTTTGATTCACGAAAAGATGTCCATGGACTCACCGAGGTAATTCCGTTGCTTCCTCCTTACTCTCAATCCCAATTACGGCTGCGTCTGCGACCTCGGCGTGCTGTAACAGCACTGACTCGAGCTCAGCGGGAGGAACTGACACATTAGCTATCAGTTGGGTGGTCGCACTGAAGAAAATTAAATGTAGGCTCACCTTGGAAGCCCTACAAGCGTGACCAAATGAGAATTGACAACCGGGCGCATTGCAGCAACTAACTCGCCTTATATTTGATCAATTCCTTTTTCCGGTCTACAATTGTGTAGAATCCATCTTTGTCCCGCACGCCGATATCACCAGTCTTGAACCACCCATCAGGCGTAATAGCTTCAGTAGTTGCAGTGGGGTTGTTTAGGTATCCCTGATGTGAAACGTGTGATCAAACTGGTTTGAAGGATGTTGACACGCGGAATACCTTCATGATCGTCGGCCCTCTCACCCATACCTCACCAGCGCCTGGGATATCTGTGTGTGCCTGTAGAGTTCATCATTAATATTGACCTGAGCTAGACGGGGAAGAAGTACGAACTTCGCCTTCAGCTTCGCCAACAAGTCTGACCTCCAAGTTTGGAAGCAGTACTCCTGCTGCCCCAATGTGACTGCTGGCGTCGGGAACAGGGAGGAGGAATACCGTCGGTGAAGTTTCTGTGAGGCCATAGCCTATGCAAATATTTGAGACTCAGCACTCGGGAAGTGAATCGAGACGAAAACACACCTTGTAGAATATTTACATCTGCGCGCATGCTTTTCATACGCTTCATCACGGTCGAGACAAGCTCGGCACCGAGGGGTGCGGCACCTGAGAAGAGAATCTTGAGGGAGGTGAGGTCATGTTTCTGAATAGCTGAACGTAAGATTGTGTCAGAAGTTAGAACTGAGATAAATGACAGCGGAAAAGGACTGGTGGGCATACGGGCATGCAACAGACCCCAAAGGGAGTTAGATCCACGAGGAGCATTGACACTTATACAACGATGCGAGATAGGTCGATATATGCGTACCATACGCAGTCAGACCGGGAATTCAAGTGGTGAGGAGAGAAAAGAGGAAGAGGAAGACCTACCTGGGTGTCTCGCAAATACTACTAGCATCGGAGGGACAACAAAGCCGACTGTCACGCGATATCTTGCGATAGCGGCACAGAAGCCATCGGGGTCGAAGCCTGCCATGACAACCCCAGGTACACCTAAGAATAACGGCAAATGGAGAAGTTTGACTCCGCCATAGATGTGATAATAGGGCAGGCACCCAAAGAGCACATCTACACCGCCTTGTGCAGGGATGGACGGGGTAAGGCATGGCTTAGAATCGGGCCAGACAGGTTTGAGTATCTCGAGGACAGAGATGAGATTGTAATGTGTGGTCTCGACACCCTTTGGTTGACCTGTTGTGCCAGAGGAGTAGCAGAGATATACAGTTTCGTTTGACCGTTCGCCATCGAAGCTGACTTCTTCCGTGAGCTCGCCACGACCAAGTAGTTGAGTTATAGCCACAAGGTCTTTCAGACCCGGAACAGATACATCTTTGGCACCTGTGATCCACTGAACCCCAGCTACGATGACACGGCTACGTATTTCCTGCTCGGAGCATCCAAGGGACCTTAGCATAGTCCGGGCTGTCCCAACCAGCGAAGGGTGGGCGAATACAAGATGAGCTCCTGCATCAACGTATTGATACTTTAGTTCATCTGGCGTATATGCGCTGTTTGCAAGCGTCGCGCGGAAGCCAGCGGCCACTGCGCCAAATGTCATGATGGGCCACGTGATTGAATTGGGAGAGAAAATGAGCACTGTCTTGGTGCGGTTCTCTAGCGGTGATGGAAGATTGTGAAGAGAGAATGCTAACTGAAGAGCATATGAGCGAAATGTTCCACGAGAGATTGTTGTACCGGAAAGAGCATCTATGAATGCAGGTGATGAAGCGGGGAAACCACCGACTGTGCCTGGGGAAGACGAAGAGACACCAAGGAGGTGAGTGAAGATAGAACGACGACAAATAGGGACAGACGGGTAGGACGACGTGTAAATAGTGTCCGTCATCGTGTCGCTCGTTGTGCTCAAGGTGGGAGTGAAACTAGAACTCCTTTACCGCAGTGATCCAAGCTCCGTATTAATAAAAGGATTCCCCTTTGGGATAGCGCTGCACAGGCTAGTGCAAAGTTTTTTGTCGACTTTTGTACTGCAACAAATCGCGATTAACAGCGGCAAAGTGGGTAAAGACAACGACTTTTACCAAGCCTTTACGATATCTGTCAACTTCATTGATCATCATCATCCCTATGACTATGGGGAACGGCGTCAGGCAAGCGCTGCCAACCGTGAGGTCACTTTATTCGTTTGGTCCAGTTGCCAAACCGGCAGTCAACATTCTTCATATGTACGTTCGAACTTCGGTTGCGCGGTTTTATTAGACTGCTATATGAATAGCACTGTCAGACAATCATTGAAAGGTTTGGATGATCTCGAGTCTCGACTGCCAACGACTCGGAGCCTCTTGACCCATGATCGACCAAATGATAGTCTAGGAGTATGCCATCACCTGATGGCAAGACCGTATTGGATCCCTGGATTCAGCGCTCAGCGCTCAGCGACGGGCGTTTACGTTTAAGTATTAAAACATTCTTCGGAAGCCGACGAATCATGTCTTCTGTCTTCCTTTGTTTATATTCTAGCTAATCTTAGCCTTAGAGCCATCTAGGCTCGTAATGATTATGTATCATCGATCGACACTACTAGGTACCAATGGTAGTAGCACGTCGGGTCATCCGTTATCGTCGGTTACCCCGACACGCACCAACGTCTCCCTCGAAGAAGAATCGCCCAGTGCTTAGCTCCAGTGTGCATGCTCGGCAGGGCACCTAGATCGCCTCGTTGATTTCATTTGCTCTCATCACAGTTGTCCAACGGTCAATTAACGTCCGATAACTCAATTTTGCCGCCCGGACGTACATATCCAGCAAAATTCCTCAAAAGAACAGATCCACGAGTCTGATGGAACTGTCCCAATGCCGCCCATATGCGCGCATATGGCGAGCTACGGTGAGTCGTTAGGGAGGTGAATATATACATGTACTATCTTATTGTAATATTCCAGAATTGACCATCACAATTTACTCCGTAACTCGGGGACCAGATCATGCCCTTGGCCATCGCGAAGGAAGTCTCTCAAGTTAGTTAGCGCACGAACCTCCATGCAGCGCTGGGAATCCTGGTTCTCTGTCCCCATGTGAGGGAGGAGTACGTTTTGCGGGAATTCGAGTAAACGCGGATTCACGAGAGGCTCGTTGGGGTATACGTCTAGACCAACAGACGAGAGCTGTTCCGGTCGTGAATTTAGAAGAGGCAAAGAGAACAAATAAACGATCTGACGCACATGGCCATCTGCAAGAGCGCGAATCATCGCCTCCTCGTCAATGACCTTTCCACGCGCGGTATTCACGATGATACTGCCCTTCTTCATCGCACGAATCTCCTTCTCGCCCACCAGATGAACTGTCTCATCACGTAAAGGAACATGCAAGCTCAGAACATCACTTTCTCGACAAAGCTTTTCCACACTGTCAACGTACTCGCACCACTCTGGTGCGTTGGCAGACTTATTCCTCGAGTGATAGACAACGCGCATAGGAAATGCGTGTACTAGATGAGCAAGCCTAAGACCAATACCGCCGAGGCCCAAGATACCCAGCGTGCGTCCCGTAACATCATGAGCCCGCCCAGGATGGAGGCCCGTTTTGAACCTTCCCTGGCGAAGGGATTGTTCGGCCCAAGCGTAATTTCTGAGACAAGAAATGACAAGGTATAACGCCGTAGTGGCAGTTGCATCATCGACAGCGCCAGGAGTATTAGACACGTTGATACCTAATCCGGATGTAAGCTCATGAAATATCATTGGTGGAAGACCCCAACGGATGTAGGACATGAAAATGTAGTGCAGTCACCTTTTTTTGCGCATCGAAGGACATCGATCTGATCGTAACCCGCACCGTTATGCGCGATCCACTTGATAGTGCCCGTTTCAGCCAGTGCATCGATAATCTCTTCGTCAAAAACGCCGATGCGGTCTGCTGAAGTGTTGTGCCGGTAGATGCCCACAATTCCGTCGTACTTTTCTCCTTTCAGCCCAGCAAGGAAATCTCCCCGATTTGGAGAATCCATAACCTGAGACATGTGTTAAATGCGAATAACTCTCCATCGAGGAGAAATAAACGTACAACAATATCTGCGAGCCCGCTAAAAAGCTGTCTGGCTTCATCATGAGCCCAAACAAGGTTTCCTGCGAGCACCGATCCTGTAAGTATACAAAAATGTGGCCGCGACGGATCAGGACTCACCACAAATCAATATACGGCGCTGGCGAGACGACATCGTGGGAATCTAGCTGGAGTGGGGGACACGAGGGAGGGTGCCAAAAAATGGTTGGTACTTGTTTGAGGATACTCGAACTTTAAACCTTTCATAACGAAATTGAATGGGGTCAACTGATCAGTTAATGAGGAAGGATACGGAGCCGCGGACCGGATGCCCGCCGTTTGGCGTCCTCCAAGGTCAGCAGCGGGCCTGCTAGTCTCAGGCTGCAAACTTACAGCAACGACAGCAATGAAACAACTGTCTAGCTTGCTGAAGGAGACCAAGGCATAGCGAGCTAGCCCAAAGCTAACCTTGGGTTAAGTTCGTGTAAAATAGTACTACGAGAGTTTGGGCGAACCTCCATCTTCATCTCGGCGTCTCCCGAGCGCGTGTCCAGGCGCACACGTGTGGCAGTATGGTCACCAGGTGTTCTGAGCCTTGAGGGAAATCAAATAATCTCGGGTTCACATTCGGTTCGTCAGGGAACACCAACCCGTCAAATGACAGACGAAAGCTACTTAGAAAAAAATCAGCACTCAGAAAAATCATGGTAATTGCTGAAGCAGCTTGTACGTGCACACCATCTAGCGCCCTTAGCAGCACCTCTTCATCAACCACCTTTCCCCACGCCATATCCACCAGAATGCTACCTCGCTTCATAGCACGAACCTTGCTGCTCACCAACGAGCTTTATCGTCTCTGACAGAAGAGGAACGTACACGTGGGGTCTCCGAGTTCCTGGCGCGAGTAATATAGCACTCGCATGGGAAATACATGGATAAGAATCACGAGATGTGCGAGGCGAAAGAGGGCGAAAGCCAATTCCGCCAAGGCCAAAATATGAGTCAACAAGTGTGACATTATGATGCTATTGCACGTTGATCGCCGCGACGGTGCAATGTCGCGAACTTGTCGCGAACTCCTCATGGTAAAATGGATTTTCAGACATCCATATGATTGGCTATGTACCGATCCTCGCCGTATACATTATAGGCATATTCAGCAGGAGCAGAATTATATCATCCTATATTTCTCACGGCTACCATATCAATTCACTGATGATGATGATATGCTCGTAAGGACACGAGCAGCACCTGAAGAAAACGGGGTTTTCCAATTCCCGGCCTGTAGTGAACATCGCTTGGCAGGGAGGTCCAGATCACCAAATAGAATGTTGTTGTCGCCTTTGCATCATTAACTCAGGTTGTAGCCTGCCGGGCGTGTTCGACACATGAATTCTTGAATCAAATAGAGAAGGAAAGTTGAGTGGAGTGGAACTAGTACCAGTAGGTACAGAGTCTTTAAAGGTGCGACGTTTACCTTGTAGACTCATTCATCAATGAGATCACAGCCGGATTCGTTGTGGACAGTCGCTGGATAGAAGTTGCTATTCAACTGCTAGAATCAACCCCTTTGCACGCACCGGCCCATCATGGAAATCTCGAATGAGGCAAACATCCAACATATTTGCAACAGTACTACTGATACACACAGACAATGCACAAAAGGAAGAGGATATAAAACGATATAGGTAACAAAGATTAGTACAGTACTCTCAAACTCATGAGGCGTGAGAATATGAAAACCATATACTAGGCTGGAAACCCTGTCAAAAATATCAAGAATGGCTTCGAAATCTACTCACTAGCTGCCTGAGATACCTCCGCTTCGAAAACTCTCATATCAAACGCCTTCTTGAAGGGTTCATATAATTTACCGGGAACAGCGAACACAACTTCTTCAAACGAGTCTTTGAACGCCGCGCGCGAAACAGTCGTCTTCCCATCTTCACGATTCTCTTCACCTTCCCCACATACAAGGAGGTCAGCCCAGATCTCCGCGATCATTTCAACTTTGTTCTCGCAGGAACCGCACCCAAACGCACCGAGGACGAGAGCTCGGTCACCACGTGTCTCAAAGATGCGAAGTGCCCTTGCCATCCGGTCCCGCATCTTGTCATGTATGCCGTCCGCAAAGATATGAGCGTTTGATGGAGTGATGCTGTAGTTCTGACGTATTGCAGCTGCGTTGACAGGCACAGCCGAGAGAACATTAATAAGATAAGGAGGGGTGAAGTTATTTGACGATGCAGTTGTCAGTGGAGATGTGTCATCACTATCATCTTGGCGAAAGGTGACAACACCTGGGCTGTATACCATGGAGTGATCATGAAGGCCAGCTCCGTCGACGCTAACAAATTTCCTGTGGGTGGTGTAAAACTCCTTGCCTTGGTCGGCCTGGAGACTAGCTACGAGCGATGAAGACCTAGCGAGGATCTCTTCTTGCTCATTACCGCCGTGTAGATAGCCTCCACCGGGACGTTTGGGTGAAGCAAAGGAAAGGACTCCAATTGACGTGGTAGAGAGCGAATACGGCGAACTACGAGTAAGATCTGGTCGCCGCTCGTGCAGTTGCCGAGCAGCCGTAAGCGTAGAGCTAGCAACAAACAAAAAACTAGTCGACTTGGTTCGGGAAGGAGAGACTGTGGGAGGCTTGCGCCAGTCAGCCAAAGATGGCAAATAATGAGGGAACAACGTTGTTCCCTGCTTGCTTAAAATGATTTGTGATGATATGTCATGTGTGACATGCGTTGTGATCATGGTATGCGGTCCTTGATAATGAGATGGGTTTACTTGTAGCGAGGCGTTACCAGGGCAAGAGACAAGCGGAGAGATATGGGTAGGGGGCATGATACATGAAACAGAAGTAGAAGAAAGTTTCTCTTCGATGTACTTGCCATCCCCAAGAACAATGCTTTGTGTTTCGCGAGCAGCTTGAGCCCAGCGTTCACGCCTTGCCTTTTGAACCCCGAAAGCAAGTTGCCTCCGCTGCCGCTTGATATGTTCTTGCTTAAAGTGCCGGCGTTTGTGGCCCAAAGATGAGCCTTGGGATTGTTTGATGGTGGCGACAGAACGCATCGGAGTGCCTGATCGCGTCTTCGATGCTGCCAGCTTGCGATTAGCCTGACGAGCCATAAATCTGTGAATGAGTCTCTTGGTGCTGTTCGATAGTTATACTTGGTGGTTGTAGAAAGAAAGTGTCAAGTGTTGGTCTCGCTGGTGATAATCAATGTTTGTACCTGTTTGTTATCTTTCTTCCACGTCATGTTTTTGGTGACTCGGAGGTGGTATCCAGGGACCAGGGCTGTCCACAGTGGTTGGTTGGTTGTACTCAAAGACTTTGGCCTTATCACCAGCAGCTTCCTGATTTTCCAAATTTCAACCCTACTGGTCAAGTTGGGTCATGGTCAGACTCATGATTCAGAATCAACGCCACTTCAAGCACTAAGCTTAGTAACCAGTGGAAACTGCTGCTCAGTCACACTTCGTTGCATGCCGGTGCCACTTGCCACTCCTCTGATGTGAATGAACTTTTTTGGTGCACTGCTCCCTTACACAGCTCACGCAGTAGCACGTTCTAGAAGATGAAGAAGCGTACTCCTGAGAAGTTTCGCATATGAGCCTTTCGAGCTCTTCAACTCACCAATATTATTAATTTGAGCAAAGCCGATACGATCGGTAGCATCGATAAATTTGTATGCAAGTTGGTCCCGCCGTGGTACCCAGTGAGTGATTTCAAATGACACCTGTCGCTTTCGTCACTCGTCATACTAATAGGTCATACAGTAGTCATACTCGGCAATGTCTCTTCGTCCGAGATGAAGATCGTTTCCACAAACATAGAGCGACCCGTAACGATTCAAGAAGGTAATACACAGTACAGATCCGGTTGTAACAAGTGAGATTTTTTTTAATTCCAATTTATGTCCATTGAGGATAGAACCTTATGTAGGACAGTACTTTCTAATTTATGGGACCCCCGGTGTCTTTCTACAAGTGAGATTTGATTGCGCTTTCTTCGATCCTCGCTCACATCGAACAATGAGAGGAGCGTGGCTGCTATTCTCAAGCCACGACCACGCATTCTCCTCGGCCCAGCTTATTTTCATAGCCTGCCTTTACATCGACTCGTCTGGGCCCCTCTCGGATCAATCTTAACATCTTCTCATACCCCGTCTACAAGCAGCTCGTCGTGAGACGCCAGAAGCAGGGGAACCTGGATCTTCTGACCTGCCCGGATAGAACTCAGGTACGAAGATGCCTGCCGCTCAAGACGTCTCAAGAGAATTCTACAGGAGTGGCTCGCGTACATCGTATTGCAGCGGTCATAGAACATGCTGAGCTCCAGTTTACGACTCGACTTTTTTTTACATAATTTGCCACGGTTCAAGTTCAAGTGGATCAAGAAGTGTTGTGTGAGCTGATACGCTGTTCAGATTTGGAGAGTAACACACAATCATAGATCATTATAGCAGGGTATGTACATGTGCTACCGATCACATTCTCCTTTTTTTTTTGTTCGTACGGCCCTCCGTTTCCAATATTTCGCAAGAATAGAAAGCGAACCAGCTGACATGGCGTGTAATTCGATATCCTGTATCCGTTTGCTAATTCCACGCTGCCGTTGACAGTGACATTGCGTTATCGCAATATTTGTGGGATTACAAGCCATGTACGTGACTTCAGCATTGCAAAGCCGCGGGCACTTACCTCAGTTGTGATACAGGTGGTTGCTCCCCGACTATGTATGGACATATCGTTGACCTCGATAGTTGTATATTAATGTCGTTTTCCAGCTGAATAACACTCGATGTCGATGCCAGGAGAGCGCCGATTGGCACAGGCGCGTCTTGCAGAGGATGCCGGCGAAGCTGATCAAGATTCTGCTGAAACTTCGTATGCACCCTTCAGCACAACGCATGGAATGTTGCTAAATATGGGTATTTGAGGGAGTACCACTTAAACACCGAGCATAACGACAGTGACTGCCTCGAACCTTGCGCCCGATAGTCCTTGCAACACTTACTACAACTATGTGTTTTCGAAGGTGGTTTGATGACGACTATCGATGTGCGCCTTATGTTTACATCGTGGTTAGTAGCTTTATCCTGCATGCATCCCAGTATGATGATTCAGTTGACCTGAATTCCTGCGCGCTAGTTTGCATCTGTCGAAATTCGGTGACTTGGGTTTTCATCGTGATCACCATCTGTCTTTCACGCATAAGAATGTGAGTAGTGTGCTCTTGGACATGACTTTGAGCTGTAGAGCCCTAGTGAGAGACTCGGTCCAATGTTGCTTGTTCGGACGATGGATAGGCTGGAGTTGTCCTTGTTATTCGTACTCATATCATATGCAGACACTATACCATCGCTACAGACGAAACGTGAACTCCGTTTGTTGGAGAGTCGAGTCACACGAAAGTGAGTTTGTTTCACACCCCGTCGGTCAACGCGATAGTGTATTTACCGTTTCAAAAGCCGTGATGGGCCTGAGCCGCGGCTTTCAGGCCTAACCGGATCGGCACATCACGACTCTGACTCAGAATCGTACGATACGATTCTGACCACTTCTGGTGCCGACAGTCGAGGATCCCAGTCCCTGGTTGGCCGGGTCGGAGCTCTTGTTCAAGTGAACATACCCTTCTGATCACTGGTGACTGCAGGAGTTTGATCCCCGTTTCCCCTTCAAGGTCTTGAAGCATTAACCCCGAAAGGGCAGGCAGGCATTGACACTCAGGTCTACATACTGTATTCATCCGAGGGGGCACACATTGTCATCTGTGGCACACCTGTGGAATCTGTGTAGTGTGACATGCATAAAATTATGCGAAACACAAACTACGCGACATCAAATCTTCTCACCAGGTACGTTGTAATGTACCTGCACGCTCGGTCACACGTTCTTGGGGGAATGTTTCTTGCACCGGTAAGAATCTGGGATGTGGATACAGTCAAGCCTGGTCATTTCAAAGTAGCTCTTGGAAAGAATGTTTTCTCCCATAGATCCGAGGTGTTCTTACCACCGCGTGGGGAAACGTACTTTCCCCCCTGAAATCGATGAGACTCGGTCGTCATATTGTCATGCACACATGTAGATCATCTGACGGGAAGATTTACCCCACAAGTGTCATTCCATTAGTATTCAAGGCGACGTGATTGTCAACTTGCTCCAACCTTCCCCAAACCGTTCGTCATGCCGCTCTGGCCCCCTTCCCGGTATGGTATAATTAGACACAAAGCCGGCGACAATTCTTGTACAAATTAATATTGGGCTACAGAGTTGGTGCCACCGGCGTTCGCCAAACACCAGGTGATCATGATAGTATTCTGGTCGCCCTCTACTTTTAGACTTGAGCAGCGGGTTTACTGAGTTCATTACAGGCATCGCGATAACGCCTTCAGTAACCCGGTATAAAAGGCATATGCGCATCCGTTTGGGTGGCTGGATTACCGCGCTAAGTTGGTGTAGCGTTTCGCTGATCTTTCTTGCCCCACATGTCCATCGAGATAGAGAAGAAGTCTGAATCCTTTGCAGAAAATGTGGTCGATGATGACTTCAAGCTGTTGACTGCAGACGCCAGGAAGGCGGGAGAACGGGCACTGGTGCGAAAATTGGACCGCCGGCTGATGCCCACTGCTGTATTCATATACATCCTGAACTACATTGACGTATGCAAACATCCATTTATGAACCTCAGCATGCTCACGTGTACTATGCATAGCGTGTCGCTGTTACTGCTGCGAAGCTGCAAGGTTTAGACCAAGATCTCGGATTGTCAGGTGAGTGAAGTGGACTGCCGTATTATTCATGCTTAATTGATCCACTAGACGTTCAGTATGAAACCATTCTGGCTGTTCTTTATGCCACTTATTGCCCGGCACAAGTGAGCAATTTTTTTGCACAAACCCATGCGATCTTACTCACAACATCTCATCTGCGACCAGGTACCCTCGAACATGGTTTGTTTGTGTGTTATTGTGTATGGATGCAAGACTGATTTTGATTGTCAAAGGTTTTGGGCTATATTTCACGGTTGGTTGTGACTGCCAATGTTTCGATCTAGTCGATACTAAGGAAACGCGACTCAGACCATCAATTTATATTGGGGCTTGCGTTGTTGCATGGGGCCTTACAAGTGCGATGACTGGGGTAAGCTTTGTTGGAAATTGTAACTCGTGCTTGCTAACCGTCACGCAGGTGACAACTAATTTTACGGGAATCATTGTTTGTCGTATATTCATTGGTCTTCCAGAGGTAAAATTTCCATTTTGATAACTATGTGCGGGCTAAAGGAGTGCGGCTTTCCATAGGCTGCATTCTATCCTGGTATCATGTATCTACTTTCGCGATGGTATACCAGGAAGGTGAACATCGTGTTTTAGGGTCATAAGTCGCCACTCATGCAACACATTCAGGAACTTGCCGCGCGGTCAGCCTGGTTCTATTGTGGTCTTTTAATCTCGAATGCATTCGGAAGCGTGAGCTTGCTGTCGTCACAGTGGACCGTGACGCCTGATAACAACCCTTTGTTAGTTAATTGCGGCTGGAATTCTCGCAAGAATGCAAGGCGTACTGGGACTTGCGGCCTGGAGATGGTAAGACAAATTCCCTATTCCAGGAGCAGTGCCCTGACTGGAATTTCGTACCACAGGTTGTTCTACATTGAGGTATATCTTACATCACCCCTGGATCTTATGTACTGACCGGCCACTTTCTCTGCATAGGGCGCCATCACCATGTTCTTTGGCTTCATGACAATGTGCGTTTTTGCGTGTTTTTATTCTCACTCAAAGTTGACAGCCACGGTGTTGTCCAGGTGGCTTCTGCCAGATTTTGTAAGCAGAGCATTTTTAGAACGAATTTCGGCGGGTCTGACATGGCATCGCACAGCCCCATAACACTCGATGGCTTAACGCGGCGGAACGGCGCTTGGCTCAAGTTCGCCTTGCAGAAGATGCAGGGGAGGCCGACAAGGATTCCGACGACGTCACGTAAGTCCAACTCGATTTCTCGATTTCCTATTACTGACAAGGTGTTACTCCATATCACTTTTGTTAATTGGAACATCGTTCGGAACGTCACAGCATTTACGATGGCTTGGTGCTGGCTATCAAGGATCCAAAGACCATCATTTTCATGTTTATAAGCTGCTCGCAACTTCTGGGCCTGAGTTACATCAACTTTTTCCCCACGTAAGTATATGGACAGTCTTACAACTATTGCGCTAACATCGAGCGGGATAGCTTGACTCAAACACTTGGTTTCGGCACTACTGTTACATTTTTGATGGCGGCGTAAGCATGACATTTCGTTGTTACATTCACAGTTATGGCTCATCGTCGTCTGATCGCTAGTCCTCCATGGATATTCGCGTCAATCTGCTGTGTATTAGGCGCATGGCATGCAGGTACGTCTGATTCCTGGTAATACACCACAGTCATTTTGACAGAATGAATAGATAAGACCGGAGAGCGATTCTTCCATATTGCTGGCTGGTGGTGGGTGGTCATCCTTGGATATATCATCTCTCTATCCACCATGGCTACGGGCGGGCGATACTTCTCCTTGTTCCTCATGACCACCGGATATTGTGGTAAGTTCTGATTAGAACGCTGAACGCAAGCTTGACACGTTTTCGAAAGGATTTGCCTTGACATTGGCCTGGGTTTCAAACGCCATTCCTCGTCCACCGGCAAAACGCTCCGTAGCTATGGGTCTTGTCAATGGGTTTGGAAACCTCGGTAATTTGTGAGGCCTCTATGGTCAGTGTAATGTTGAATTGCTTACAAGTATCCACAGAATGGGCTCGTATGTCTGGAGTTCTTCGTGGGGTCCTCAATACCATCAATCCATGATTATAGCATTGTGCGGTCTCGTCTTGTCCACAGCCCTGAGCTTCCGTGAGCAAAATCACAATTTGACCACTCTGATGTACTCACCTATTGATAGTAATGCGGTGGATATTGATCAAAGAGAATAAACACATGGATGCGGTGGAGAAAGATTTGATGGAGGGCCCTGGCCGCGAGCGTATTGAAGAAGCTGCTAGATTGGAAGGGATTACATTCGAGGAGGCTGTGAAAAGAAGGAAGAGCTTCAGGTATTTGTATTGATCTTTTAAGAGACGCTCGATGGAGCTAGACTCCTGTAACTTGATTGAACTTTGTAATACTCTACCTGATTTGTGAGTCGAAGTGACTTGTACTTGCAGAGCTTGATTTTAAACTTCGCGCGGTGACCTGAATTCAAGTATACATAACTTCAATAAAGTATATTGGGTACATAAGTAAAACGGTTTCACTGTACGTGACTTTAACATACTCATGTGCGGTGTTCAAAGTTTCACTGGAGTTTCTGTTGCTAGATCTCGTGCTGGCAGGAAATTTACGTGCATGATGCCAACTATCCGCGGCCGTGATTTTGTGACTTGGAGTCGGCGGTATGTTACGCACAGTAAAAGCCCGACATGCGCATGCCTAGTGACGTACGTTACCGGGGCCGCCACAGCCGTTTGCAGAACGCTCTAGGCCAATCCCAAAAAAGAAAACATAGTAAGTCACGGAACCAACGAACAACTTCCGACAATCAATCGTGCTCCTTCCATGGTACCTACCATGGGACGTTACACACCTCAGAAATTCGTGGTATCTGACCAGGCATCCTCATAATTCAAACAACGCGTTAACGCTGTCCTGTTTTATTTTTGACGATTGGCCTATAGGTGTTCTGCAAATGCAGGCCTGGAATGAGAATTACTCAATCAATATTCAATCAGGGAATTCGCCCGGGGTTCTAGCTAACACTGGATTAATTCCTGAATCTCCATGAGGATCGCGGACCTTCTACAGAGCTCTTAGACAAGTTGTTGCTCGTACCCTCCAAGTCCTTCCTGACATTTTACTGCCATCGTGTTCGTTGGCGCCAGCTCGAAATCAACACCAAGATCATGACACATCCTGTCCTATGGAGGGGAAAAAACGTTTTTCTATCCTATTGGCAATACATCTGCAGTTTGCCTCACACAGAATCTTTGTCCATCTGAAAAAGCAGACGTACTGCTTCTTGGGTGCGGTGACCCGAGACATATCCTTTACACCGTATATACAAACAGCACTGGCTTGCAAGGTAAAAGCATGTTCCTAGTAGAAATATTTTGATTGAGTGGCGCGCTAATATTCCGTGCTCAGCGTCACGAAAACTGGACTTTACTTGCTGCGACATCGAGAGTGCAGTCATCGGTGAGCCCAAATTTGACACTCGATGCGTCTTTTAAGCTAATCTATCAAACAGCCCGTAACGTTATCTTATTCACCCTCCTTGCCGACGAAGGCGCTGTGCAGAAAGTACCGCAAATCTGGAATATCTTTTTCCACTTTTTCCTCGACAAAGGCTCCCATGACCTGCTCATATCACAGTGCAGGAGGTTGGTCGAGTTGTCCAGCGATCTGGATAGCTGGAACAACGGTCCTTACGGTCATTTCCTTCGTATGTGCACCGGAGATACTCTTGCCGAGTTGCGGCGCCTTTGGCAGCTTTACGTCAAGACGACCACCTGCTCTCCTCGCGAGGCAAAAGCATTTGAGTCCGCATATGCTGCTGACGTCAAGGCTTCCAAGGCGAAATTCGAATTCGTGTTTACAGCAAGTCGGGCAGCCGGGCCACTGTCAATGTATGCGCTCAAGATGGCGGGCCATCATTACAACATTTACTGGGAGACAGGCGTATGCTCTGCCGTCTCTAAGAGACCCTCGGAGGTGTCGCATCCAAATCCAACCTTAGCATACTCCATGGTCGGCGACAAATTTGCGGTCCACTATGGAACAGATACTCTCTCTTGCTTTCATTTGGCTGAAGCGCTTGCGCCAGCTGTCGGAAGCTCTCGCCATCCAGAGCAAGTTACTCTAACGGACGTGGTAAATGTCTGCAAGACGCAGTTTTCCCGGTGGTGCACTTCAGTTTCCAACGTCTTGAGCAATCAAAGTCCATCTTTTCCGAGCCCGCTCATCATACGCTGCTTTGTGGGAGACGCTCTGAGCTTGTGTCAAGCTCTTGACTACTCCCGCACCACAAAATCAACATCCACACCATTCCCCGTTGCTCCGTGGAAGATCCCGTGCATTACCTTTGATCCCAATGCCTACGGAACTAGCACGCAGTCACCCGCGCCGACCATATTCAACGTCATCGATACTTCTAACCTTCTTGATTACGTCGGCGTGTTGAATATCATCGCTGTTACTTCTCCCATTCTTCAGCGAACTCCATCCGCTACCTTGTACACGGAAGGTCTCGTTTCGGGTAGCTCAGAAGACACGTTGGCCGAACAACTTTGTGGAGATATTGCGACTATGGGTCTTCTCCTCGGCTTGATTCCTGCGTGCTTCGTATCGCAGTTCACGAACCGGTCGAACATGCATGAGCACATCGTACGTCTGACGCAAAATGCAACCCAGAATTATGAGCGCCTCGCCTGGAAACTCATCGGCGGTGCTGAGAAACTCCTAACTGATCTCGACTGCCCCATCGACATCGCTCCGGAGCAGCTTGCAGGCGTTTTCTTCAATATCTATCTCAACATGTTTTCTCACGAGAACGTGGTACGAAAGTTGGCCATGGTCAAGCAATCGCCGGAGTCCATCAAACTTTCTGGGATCGTACATTACCATCGTCGTTCGTTTGTGGGGATTTTGGGTGTCGTCAAGAGGAGGGTGATCACAGACTGGGATTCGACCATGAACATGTTTCATAGAAAGATTCAGAATGACAGAACCCTCATGATTGGAATGAACTTTTACCAAGATCTCTGCTGCCAGCTGCACCTTCTCGGTGTTTTCGATGTGGATTGGGTGTCTCTACAAAAGATGCAAGAGGTGCATCGTGTCGAAAGGCCCTTTGTCTTCCGCGATTGGAAGACGCTTCCGCAAACTCTATGCGTCGTCCTCGTTGTTCCTCGGGATTGCCTCCAGCCGCTCTTACCCGATCTTGACGAGACTGGAACACCTGTGTTGCAGTGCGACCTGAGGGGCGTAGCAACACAGAATACGTTCTCTGCCATCAACGCGGTTTTCGGTACCATTACGACCAGCGGCCAAGGTGATAGCAAAACTGTAGCCATTAAAGAAGACACCACTGGACGTTATGGAACTTCTCCTCTAGTGGTGTGGTTCTGGGTACCGTCCATTGTGCTGGTGAATGAGCGCCGTTTATCCGTCGTGTTATCTGTTCTCTCCACCCCAGCGACTTGCACACTGGCCACAAAGCGACACGACCTTTCCATATTCCGCGCGGACTTGGGAGACGAGCAACTCGTACATATTCTGCGACAGCGTCCTAATGCTGGCCCAGAGAGTCCCGACATGAAGAATTTGCAAATCGGCAGCCGTCCCATGAAGACGTCTGGTGCATGCGCATTCGTCACGTTAGACAAAGAATGTAAGACACCTCTGTCATTCACCACTCGGGTAGATATCATCGAACCGGAGATGAAAGCTTCCCTGACCAGCGGTGCTACTCCTACTGTGAACCAAGTGTCTATGTATTCAATTGCCCTTGTTCTTGGAGACAAGTCTTTGAAATTCCCTTTCCCGCTTCCTATCGATGCCAAGAAAGCCAAGTTTCGCATTGCACGAAAGTCACTATACATCGAAGTACGATTTCTCTACTTGTCTATCCCAACAAATACTCATGTTGAACTCGGTGCAGATCATCTTACCCCTGAAACTTGTTCTTGGAGAAACCGACTCGGACATGTTCCCTGTTATTCCGCACGGAGGCGATCTTGCTCTCTGGAACATGCACCGTGTCAACCTCGACCAATGCATACCTTTCAGCATTGCTAATAAGAAAGCTCTTGGCTGGATCAACCCTCACGTTTCCCTTATGATGTCCGATCGTGAAAGACGCATCCCCCGTGCGTTGACTTCAGGGTCAACGCTACTTGATGTCAAACGCTCGCTTCATTTTATCTTTGGGCAGGCAAGCGGTCTCGCAGAAGGCAAACCCCCTCTAGGCTTCGCCTTGCAAGTGACTGATGAATCGGAGATCTTTGTTATGTTCTACATCACGGACCTCCGCTTGGACGTCGGCTCGCACACCATGGTCGCTGATGCTTGGGTGATGCCGTCTTCTCCCTCGTTTGAGAAGGTCGAGGCTTTCAGCAAGGTTTTTACTCATTTGAGACCTAATAATATAAAGATGGTTGGGATGGGTGTTGAGGAGAGGAAGGCATGGATGCACCTCCTCGTGGCTGCGACGGAGCGCTGCCGTACCTGGGAGCACAAGATCAACTGCGAGTACCGCATGGAAGGCGCTATCCCTCTGGCGTTGGAGCCAGACGAGAGTCCTATTTGCTCTTGTGGTGCCGGGGTGGCGACAGAATCATTTGTGAAGAAATACCCGATACTTCAACCGCTTGCGCCGTGTGTGACAAGGGCAGTGATCAGTCCGCTGTTCGCGTTGTCATACATTGAAAAGATTGGCAATATGGAAGATATCATGGCTTCGAATACTCCACCGACGCCTGCACCGGCAGCAGTGGTGCGTAATGTGTGCGCTGCTTGTGGAAAGGAAGGAGGTGCTTCTGGGTCGTTGTTGATTTGCAGCCGGTGCAAGGTTGTGCGGTATTGTTCACAGAGTTGTCAACGTGAGGACTGGAAGGGGCACAAGAAGAGTTGCGTAGCACCATCCTCCTAAGGGGATCATTCATCACGAGTAAATATATGATGTCGATTATTTTTGCTGCCAGTGAATTTGCAGATAGATTTTGTTCCACGCCAAAATTGCCGTATCATAGGCTTCACGAGGTGTACATGGCAATATGCTAGCATTGATCTTGCTTCGCAAGATTACATTTTGTTTTCACACCAATAAACCCAGCTTCACAAGGTAGGTGATCCTAGGTGGTAATTTACTGTTAATTTCCTCTGTTCGAAAGGGGATGTCAGATTGATGGGATCTTCCTACGTCACTATCAAGAACGATATATTCAGCTTCGAAAGGGGATTTCAGATAGATAGGAGTGGCGCTTCCTACATGATAAGCTACATCACCATCAAGAGTAATATTCAGCACATAAAAGCAAAGCGCAAACCTGATGTCCCCTTCAAATTTGCTTGATCCCATATCACATCCTCAGATAATGCGTCTCTACTTTGTCCTCGCCGTTGTCGCTGCTTTGACAGCATCGGTATCTGCCAGTGACGCTGCCGGCGAGGTTGCCAGTGCGAAATGTCCTTGGTTTTGCGTGCGTGATAGCACTTGCTCATCCTGCGAAGGGGGGTTTTGCGTGAGTATTAGTAGCTTGTGTCCTGGAATTAACTACATGACTGACCGGCGTGATAGAGCTTCTTTGTATGCTTCTAGTGTGGCAGTGAGTTGTGTTTTTGCTTTCGCAATGGTGCAGTATGGTTAATGGCACGACGCGTGAAGCCTTGATCAGATGCTCGGCTATTTGGGGTGTGGTGAGAACTTTGGTGGTGGCAGAGACGAAGTTTGGTGTGATCAGGCAGTGGGGAATTAGGATTGTATCTATTCAGGAGGCTAGAAGTTGAGAAATCCTGGTGTCAGAGCCCCTGTAAGCTAGCAGACTGTACAGAGGAGCTTGCGTAGTGAAAAATAATCGGGAAAGGACGAGATACTCACCGTATATCTGGATGTGCGTTGTCGAGCGGCTGTGCAGTTTCATCAAGTGGTCTCAATTCAACTTTGAAAGAGTAAGATGCATTGTGATGTGGTACTTACTACTTCACACAATCCGGTGCAAACTGGCGGGCCCATGTGCGAATATCACAAAATATCGCACTAGTGGGAATCCACGTACATGAAGGGACGGAATGTTGGCGTACGAAGTAGCAGGTGGGCATAGGAACTCGAAAGGACGAGCAGCGCAAATGGGAGAATGAGACTGCACACGAAGAGCCACATAAGTCACAATACATACTTGCCAGTGTAAGATACGTGCGCCACTATGCATGAATCTACGCACCTGCATGCTCTATCTGTGAACCTACTGGGGCTCGCCACAGTAAAAATATGCATGGCTACAGTGCTAGAACCCTAGTTATGTCATACATGGTTGCGCCGCGATAAGTGGCACATGGTAAGATGTGTTTGATGGAATCAACACCTACAGCGTATGAATGGCGTTTAAGTTCTTGACATCGCATTCTCGTTGAATCATCTTCTCGAACGCCCCAAGTTATGGATGATGACTGGAAAACTTTCGGAGGAAAAGCTCAAGCCATCGCAACCGCGGGACATGAAAGTAAATTCTTTGTCATGGACACGCTATCGCCTAAAAAAGAGGTTTCGGCGCAATGACCGGGCCTAGTTAAGACGGACCTCCGAGGATCTATACACCGCAAAAATATAGTCAGTAGGTTTCGAACCAACTCCAAGAGAAACAGATTTTGACTCTGTTGCGGTAACCACTTGGCTAAGGACAGTTAGATCATCAGCAAACCAGAGGTGTACTTGACAACCCTGGACAACCCTGGACAGAGTCACGGAGCCCACAGTAAGGGTTCTCTCTGTACAGCCCTGTACAGTGCAAGTGTGACATTGTACAGAGCTGTACAGAGTGTTAGGTACTTCGGACAATACAATACAGAGCACAATTGGGTAGGCCAGACAGGAATATCACAGAATGCTCACAGAAAGTGCACAATAATTAAAACCAAACAAATCATCATTGCGTCGTACTACAATAGGTATCCTACGGAAATACTAGAACACAATCAGTCTAGTTGGAGCTTCAAGCCCCAATCATGGCGCCTGTTTGGATCATTGCGAGTCAGAATTCTGCGCGGCCGTCAACAAATAACACAAATTAAGAAAAGCTTGACCCGTACCCTGCAGCACGAGCCCATTTCTTTCGGGCGGCCCGGCATTTCTTGGCGTGATAGTGGTCCTTCTTTACATTGTTGTAGAGCTTGATGACATTGTCGTAGATCGGTTGATATAACTCGGCCACGAATTTCAGTTGCTTGTAGACGCCCAGTCTTGTATTCGTCGATAGCAGCAGCAAGCTAGTTAGATGAGTGGGTGAAAATAATTATGAGCTTGGGATCACGTACCGCAGTCGCTGCGAGCGCGACAGCACCCTCGGGAACAGCATCAGCGAATAAGTCTGGAAATGTCTTCGTGAGTGCATTCTCGCCCTTGTAAAAATAGGACATACAGAAGCTGCCCAGGGCCTCGTTTGCAAGGTTATTGGTCCTGCCCTAATACACACGTCCAAGTCTGTAAGTGCGTGGCCAGTTCTAATCAACTAACCAGTGCATCCACTCCATCCCATAGGAAACTACCATCCTGCAACAATGTTTTGACATTATCACGTACCTCCCGCTCACAGTCATCCTCGTTGTCAATATCATGCGGAAGAATTTCATAGTGAGCTAGAACAATTGGACGCGCAACCTTTTTCATCTCAGAACACATAGTAGCACGATCGTCCCATAGCTACAGAATTGTCAGCATTGTCAAACAGAGTAAGAACAAAAAATACCAAGACTGCCATATCTGATTTGTGTTCATCCCAGTATCCGTTGTCGACACCTATACCTTGAGATCCAAAATCATCGAGCATTTCTAAGATATATTTGATGGCCTTGGTTTGGAGAAAATCGCTGTGCTTCGACGCTGTGCTAGTGAGTAAACCCAGGCGCGATTTCTTCTTCGCGGCCTCTAGAACGTCCCTCCAAGAAGGAGGATAGAAACGAATATTCTGTGCAGTCGATTTGACCGTCCGCATTCTCTTGCGTGGTACTACAACCTCCTCTTCTTCAGAAGGTTCAGCCAAATCTTGAGTAGTAGCATGTCGACGTAAATGCTCGAGCTTGTCTGGGTCGGGTATACGAGGGCGACGGTTCCTTGCGTGATGATCGTCGAGGACATCTTTGGTATTTCGTGAGTTACCAATAGCTCGAGAGTGTGTGCGA